TAAAAATAAGGTTGTTTTTTTCTTTGGTCAGTTTCACTGGAGACCACTTTTTTCAATACTTTTTCCAAAGATCAATTTTTTCCAAATTGACATTATTGCTAAAAAAAATCTGATGCACAATACCCCCTTCTCCGTTTTCATTTTTTGTGCCCGAGATTTCTATTGTCTATATGTCATTGTTTTTATTTTCTACTTTCTACCTCTTGATCACATTCTCTGAGGGAAATTTCTATTCTGTTTTCCTACCTCATCGATTTTTGTTAAATTTGTGAACATATTATTAACTAAATGTTATTTATTATTTATTTCAACTATTGAGTTTAGGGTTATTTAAGCTACTGCATGTTCATAACTAGTATACTTGCTGGATTCTTTTGTATGACTTCTTGTGTTTTTTTATGTTTTAAATTCTCCACTTCAATCATCCAACATGTATTTTCTCGCTTATTTGAATATTTCATCAATGTTTCTAGATATTCTTTGCAGTTAAAAAGGGTAGTAACCTTGCTTTGAAGGGCAGGTTGGAATAGTAGGAGCGGTGGAGAATGGAAATTTAAAGAGAAAATGAAGGCTTTTGATTCAAATCTTAGCTCAGCTGCTTACTAACCGTGTAATATGTGGATAAGTTACGCAAATTCTCTTCCGATTGGTTTTCAACACTAAGATGGGTATAAAGAGAGGCTTAGTTGTCGTAAAGAGCATATGCGCTTATGTCTATTGGCCTATTTATAGTGTATAGTGTTTCAATGACTGGTGTTTATATCGATTTTTCTTCATAAATTATCTGTATTCGAGATGTTCTCCATAACTTTGGCCCACAATATCCTTCTCCTGATGGCGGCACACAGAGGTTACAGTGCACGGGCTCAGTGAGAAGGCACCGTATAAAGAGACACGCTGGCTGCTCACAGAGTAACCACCCCTCTTGCTGTGCAGATAACTTGGGAATTTGCAGCTGGATCTATATTTAGATGTGAGGCTTCTGTGGGAAGGACCACTGTGCTAGCTTTGGTCTGCCAGTCTGGGAGGTTTGGATGGAGACAAAGTTCTTGATGTGTTCTGGATCTTTTTGTTAAAAGTAAGGACCACTAACTTGGTTTTAGAGAATTTCTATTTAGCACTTCATGAGCAATACACTGATATTTTATTTGGGGGCACTTTTTTCCAAATTAAACTATATGATAATAGGTCTGTTAAGCAAAGAGGATTATAGTGCCATGAGGCTAAGTTATTAGTCAATAGGGGAAGAGAGAGGGCACGGTTTACGTCACAGTGGAAGGCTTTCTGAGACAGTTGGGTTGAAGGCACTGGATTTCTGTAAATGGAAAATGAACACTGATCAATGATCAACGATATAAGGGACTGACTGGCCAATAGTTATGATATTGGCAAATCTCTGAAATCTTTCAGAGATGCTTGTGCCTCTAAATGGAGAAAGATGGAGTGGTAGAATCTTTCAGGTATAAATTAGTTAAAATTTCAATTGTCTTTTTTCTTTCAATGCTTCTTGTGATTGATTCAGGGATCACAAGAAAAAGATGTTAGTTTTTATGAACAAAAATCATCAGAAACACAGCTCTTAATTTTCAAGTGTGCCATCTTTACCTTCCTTTGCCCCGGAAGGCACATTTTATTACTATTTTTCATTGTTTCCAGTTACTATTTATCATATTTCCCTTTTCCACACCAGGTTTTAGTTCATTAAGAATTAATTTTATGTAAACTGGAAGTAGGAATAAGGTTCCTGGCTCTTTCAAAATAACAAATGGAGTTTTCTTCTGAGGTCACTTGATCGTGTCTCTAAGACTGCTTTTTTGACTACATTTTATGAATACTCTCATTTCAATCCCCACCATTAACTCCCGAGATAAGCAGTAACTCTAATGTCCACAGAAGAACCACTGTTTTGGAATTTGTTGTCAGGCAAGATTCCCTAATGAGACACTGTGTGAGATCCTTTGCTGGGAGTGCTTCTTGTAGCTGGAGCTCTTCTGCCCAGCACTGATGAAGAGCAAAGGTCGTATTTCATATTCAACTATGACTATCACCTACATATGTCATTTTGTTTTCCCCTCAAATGGTATCTGTGGTCATGGTTTTCACTTAGTAGGTGTTGGCTTTTATCGCCAACACAGAAAAAGAAGCAGTCATCACTGCCAAGAAACTTTGGCATGATAACTAGTTAATAGTTTTATAGCAGGGTAGGAGGTGTCTGTAACATGAACCAATGAGTAATGAATGAAGAAATGAATGAATGTGTATCTCCACGATGATGAGCATTTCCGTTATATCTCTTTCAACATCTTTCCTCTCTTCAGGAACCATGGTATTTCTTTTCACCAAAAGCATATTTTGGATCACTTTGTAATACAAAATCAAGGCAGGTGGGCAGCTACTCATCTAAATGCAGTTTACTCTCTTAAGAATCTGGTTTAATACTACGATGGAAAATTGCCTTTGTTCTCCAAGATAATAAAGATAACAGCATGCATTCATATTCCTTTAGAACACACATTCAGGCCCTTATGTACCTTTGCTGAAAAGTTCTCCAGAGCTCAAGATAACAAATTTGTATGTTACCGCGCAATGTGCAGTGCCTACCAATTGCTCCTGTTTCATTTTATTAGTTCTTCACAGCTTTTGTTTCATCCTTATTTTTTCCATTTCATGTATTCTAGATCTGAAAGTCCAATACCGGCCTTTATGAATTCTAATGATACTTAATTACCTTCTACCCAATCTTAGTCTCTTTCTGTTGACCTATATTAAAAACTAACAGTTCAAATGATCCTAACTGACACTGGACAGATCAAGTCTGGTCTCAGAATAATGAGAAAAAAAATACTCAAGAACAATAAAAGGGTGTACTTTTTTGATCTGGGTTTCTTTTTTTGTGGTCCTTGAACTTACACAATATAGACTGACAGTTGCATCTGATTTTTGTTTTATCAACAATATGAGAAACTTCACCTCTGAGTTTATAGTCAAACCCAAAGCTGAATGTGGGTGCATTACTAAAATTAAGGATCTTGATATTTTTGCAAATCAGTTCTAATCTCTAGTTTTGGATTATCCTTCTCCCTTCTGCAATACAGAACAAGGAGGGATAATTGTAGCCCATGACTGAAATACAAAAGAAAGCATGGAATGAGCAGAAGACAAGATGAATGGATGACAAGATGAGTAGTGTGTTTTATAAAAAATATGCAAATAAACATTATTTTACTTTTAATATTCTCTGTATTAATTTATACATATACATAGCATAAGCATTTCACATAATTTTATCACTATGCACAATACTATGAGAAGCTATTTTGATTTCTTCAGCCCACACTATTTTAGCACAATAACATCTAAAATATTTTAGCAATATATTATCACATTTGTACTAGAGCTGCCTGAAATACTCTGTTTTCCATGTTTGTAAACAAAAATAGGAACATTACTATAACACTGCAATTGCAAAAATACCATCTTTTCAATTCCCCCCTTACATTTAGTAAAGGAGACTTAAACTACTTTTGTATCCAAAATAGCATTATTTCTGAGAAAAATAGTTTTCTCCCGACGTATTAAATATATGACCAGAACAAAGCAATTATTGTCTTCCAAAACTAAATCACTCTGAAAGGTAGCATAAAATGACACTGATGAGACATGAGATATGGAGCATCACAATGTATCTTCTCATTTAACATACAAATTAAATAATGGTAACCAATTACTGCTGCAAATTTACAAATCAGTTTCTGGTGCCAGTAATGATACTGGTCTACTCAGGGATTTTTGAAGCTCTCATACTGGGAAGTAAAGAGAGATGTGGAAATACAATCAAATTATGAGAAACTTTTTTAAAACATAAATTAATATGTGGTTCAACTTGTAGCAGTTACATTTGCCCTCTCCTGTTTTGCTCATAGCAGCAAATAAGAGGTCAACTCGAAACCGATTTCTAATTAGCCCTACTGATTCTTCTGGGTAAAGACTGAGCTCTTGTTTAGTTCTGAAGCTGGGTGAAAGGCAGTTAATGGACTTCTATGGAGTCTTTTAATTTCCAGTCTTAAGCAAATTTATCTTTTACTGTTAGATAGCACCCAAGGGCAAGAGGTAATCGCTTTATAAGCCTTGGAGTGATTTGCTTTATAAATCCTGTACTTTAGGAAAGTAGAAAACTCTTTAAAGAGTATTCTCTTTCACTAAGAATTACATTTTTGGCAGTTTTGTGAAAAATTTAGCAATGGATTCTTTGTGACCTTCCAATTCGTAAATGTCAGTGACCAAAGCACAATCAATGCAGAGTCCAATTCTTCTCAGCCGTTAAAGCCTGCCCAATGGACAGGATTATCTCAAATCAAGCTGAGTGTGTAACAGTTCCAGAAAATTATCTCTAAATTTCTTTTGCTTTCAAAGGATTACATCTTCCTGTCAAATGCATGTCTTTCTACCCACTTTACTAGTCATCTTTATGTCTGAAAGCGATTTTGTGCTGCAGAGGTCATGTAATCTGTGCATTTTACACTGTATGGATGACAAAACGTGAGAAATATCAGAATTGATTGAAATAAAAAACTTAAAAGTTAGATCCATAGCCAAATACAGAAATAGTCCAATTCAAAATCTCGAGTTAAAAAGAAAAGTATTAACAGTGATTTCAATTTTTCAAAGGTATAAATGGCTCAAGATTTACAAGGAGCACCCTGTATCTGAACTAGGTCAATTTAATTGTGTTTTTCTTGGACACTTTGCTTGCGTTACTAAGACATCTGCATCTCAGTTTTGGATGAATGATGGTGTTCACAAGTTGCAGTGGGAGACTCCATTCCTAGACTGTCTCCCAAAGCAATAGTACCAAGAATAACTTTCTCCAGAATTACTATGGACAAATTCACTTAATAAATCTTCACAAATGATATGCTCAGCTCCTGGGAGGATGGGAATCACTTTAAATGAATGATCTATTTTTCCCCCAGGAAATGAAGGCTCAGTGATCACGACGCTGTGTGTATTTCACATTCAAGCAGATGACTCTTTCTCGATGATGTTCAAAGCGATCATCTCAGCACCCTCCTCGCCTTGGTTGTTGGGTGGATCATTCCTCGGCTCCTGGTGGCAGATGTAAACTGGGATATTGTCACCGCCAGCCTCAGCAGCAGCAGCTGCAGCTCGAGCAGCAGCCGAGCGGTTGGAGGGGCGGGTTCCCCAGCGCTGGTTCCATTGGATCTTGAACTGGGCCCACTGGCGCTTCAGGGTAGTTTGGACCTGGAAATGAAAAGGGAGGCTTGTTTTTATATGATTGCAGAAATGATCCAAGCAAAGTTTGAATTCAGGTCTCTTGGAGCTTATCAGAGGTGAAAGAAAGTAAAATTGTCAATTCTGAACTCAAAGACTGAGCTCTATGTGTTGTGGCCAAGGAATTTATCATCTTGGGGGACAGACATGCAAAAAGGGAAACTGTTCTATTCTCTGCAAAGGTTATTTGCTGTTTTCTTTTTCTTCTTATGCTCAGATTATGTTGAATATATAAAGTAAGGAATACATCATATTTTTCCCCAGTAGAAACCAATTCCCCTAGTATTGTGGACAGATTACCACACACTTTCTATTACATATTTTTAAGAATTTCTGTTGCTCAATATGACAAGTTTTATTCTGTATAAAATAAGGTAGATGTGATCATTGTTTGTAGCTGAGTAGTACTCCATTATATAAAAATACTACATCTTTTTTATCCATTCCTCAGTTGATGGGCACTTAGGTCATTTCCAAGATCTGGCTATTACAAATGGTGCTGCTATAAACACAGGTGCACATATATCACTGTGGTATGAAGTTTTCAGTTCTTCTGGGAATATGCCTAGAAGTGGAATAGCTGGGTCGAATGGGACTTCCAATCCCAAATGGATGCAACTTGAGAGACCATACTCATAAGTGAAATAAATCAAACTCACATGTGTAAATACCATGTAGTCTCCCTAGTGTAAGAAATGGTAAGAGTACATAAGATTTTATGGTAATCATGGTTTCCCATTATATTACTTTGAAGTCTTACAATGTTTTCATTCATTGGTTGGAATGGTTTTATTTTTGTTTGATTTTATTATGTGTGATGGTATGAACAGCTACTTTGAAGAAAACAAGACATTATGGCAGCCATTGCTGATTTACTATCATCTTGCTTTGAAGACCTACCAAACTTCTGTTCTTGTATTTTGATTCGTTCTGTCCTGTTGTATCTTATTAGATTTTATTACATGTAATAGTATAAACAAATTTTTTAAGGAAAATGAGATATTATAGTAACCATTGTTCATTTCCTGTAGTTTGGTTTTGAATATCTTGTAATGCTTTCTTTCTCTTGAATGATTTTATACTATTTTGTTATGTTTGACATTATTGTATGTGAAGGTATGCTCAAGAGACATCATGGTAGCTACTGTTGATATTTGTTGTCTGTTGTGAAGTGCTGTGTTGCTTGCATTATTCTGATTTGCTTTGGTCTGTTCTCTTTTGTTTTATTCTCTTTAAAATAAAAAAATATATTTTATCCCTAAAAAAGTATAAGATAGACATTTAAACTTAAAAAAATTATTGCTATAAAAGACACACTGCCATTAATCCTCTAAAAGTATTCTCCTTTGCTTCACACACACATATTCAGTGATTCTTGCTGTTTTTTGAAACAGTGCTGAAAATCCTCTTGCATGTCCTCAGTTGTGTTGTCATGGCTGCCTCGGAGTGCTGAATTAATTCAAAATGTTTACCTTTCGTGGTTCATTTGTCTTTGTGGGAGACCCGGAAGCCACATGATGCCAGGCCCCATAAAAACGTAGGTGGGGACACATCTTAATAGATTTTAAGTCCACCCTTTTATTGGATGGTGCTTACCAGCACTTTTCAAAATTACACCTTGTAAAGACACTCATAAAACAGGATTTCTGGAACTGCTTAGAAAGTGGCAAGAATGACTGGATAGAGGTGTGTGAAGTGATAGGGAATATCTGAATGGGAAACTAATGGCAGTATGTCTTAAACCGTAATATATTTTGAAACATTCACATGTGATCAAAATATTTTGATATCTTATACATATAAACCATTTTGTCTCTATTTCTTAATGTATTTTTAGTTTATTCTGTTGCTGAACTTGAATACAACAGCTAAGTACCTGAGAGAGAATCTGGGGACAATGTAACATGAGGTAAGTCCTGTAACTGTTTGATCATGGAAAGTCATTTTATCTACATATGAATGAATGTGAAAGTAGATCTGAATGATCTACTTTCAAACATATTGAAATGTATAAGGCTGGAAATTTCCAGGAAAAAGTAAACACCATCCCCTAATAGTTATTAGTATCTACGTGATTCTGTATATTTTATTTAAGAGAAGAAATAGTCAAATGATTTGTTGAAAAACAAGTCAAGATGGCGTGCAACGTAGCTGGTGATTTATCACCTCATAGCAGAGCGACTGGAAGACTCAGAATGACAAATGACAACGAGAATAGTCTAGCATTCTGATAATTTGAACACAACAGTCTGGTCATAGGGTATAAAGCACTTTACCTACAATTATATTTAAAAGGAACTAAGATAAGAACAGTGTTAAAGAGTGAGATGTGAACTATGGCTGAACTTTGTATTGGTTAAAGCCACATAGGGGACGAAGGATGGCATAAAGTTTCCGTGTCGCCAACACTTGATTTGTGTGAACTTACATAACCATCACGACAGCCCTTTTAGGAGGGCACCACTGTTATTTTTACTTTCAGCAGAGAGAATTGAGATCATATTGAGAATTGAGACCACAGTAAGAGAGCTGGATGTGGCCGAGCCACAGTCCCGAGCGAATCTTGGCTTCCTCTGAGTTGTACTGTAGCTCTGTAAAAGCTAGATTTATAGTCAGGAAACCAATGAATGTCCTGTTGAGGAACAGGAAGATTCTGGCTCAGTATATTTTTCCTACAGAAGAACTATACTATTCGTACGAATTCAGAACCTTTCTAAGATTGTCCTTGGAAAGCATAAACAGACACTTAGGGTGTCCGAGGTAGACAGAAGTTCAGAGTGAGTTTGAAAACTCTTAGAAGAAAAGCCAGAAATGGTAGCCCACACTTGTAATCTCAGCACTCTGGAATGCTGAGACTGGAGGACCACAACTTTGAGCCTAGCTTGGAGAATTTAGTGACTTAGAGAGTCCTGATGTCACAATATAATATAAGAAAGAATTGGGAATATACTAATTCAGTGTGAAAACCCTAGTACATGCATGTACCAAAAAAGTCCCATCAGAAAATGAAAGTGTTTTATGTCAACTGTACTTTTAAAATAATCTCCATCAGATGTATCTGTGTATATTGATGACCTACCCAACCCAAGCAAGATCCAAAGGCTTTGAAGTCTATTTTGATTTTTAAAGTTATTATTACAGAAAGTTCTACAGCCCTAGCTAATTGCATCTCAAATTACAACTCTCCCTTCGTGTGAAGATGGTAATCTACTTCAATTTGTAAACTACATATATAAGAACAGTCCCTGAGCAGCATGTAAAAGACACTTCAATAATTACAGTTTAATAAAGGCAATTATCTCATACAACATCGCAGGCTGAGCCTGATGCTACTGTTGTGACAATAATAAAAGTATTGAATCAGTGCCCTTAAAAAAAGTAGGGGGACTTTTGGTGTTTCTGAATAATTATAGATTGTTAGGAGATGTCAATTGTAAGCATAAAATACAAAATTCTGAATTATATAAATTTATTGTTTGTTAAAGCAATGAACACAAATTGCATTTTTTTCTCATCAGATTAATTTATCTATTGCCAGCTCTAAAAACCAAAGTCGTGATCTGTTGGTTTGAGGACATAATTATCACACCTAGTTCTATTACTGAGCTACATAAGGTGGTACATTTGAGCATCAGCCCCATGTCTGAGAATAGCACACTCTGTGTAGACGTTACAATTTGTGTTTTCAGAAACCTTTCAGGAGATTCTGATGTTTGCTTGGTTTTGAGAAGACTTGTCTAGAACAAAGAAATTACTGCTTAGCTTTGAGGCCCCAGATGAATTTTTTTGTCTCTGGAAAGGAAATAGTCTCTTGGGATATCTTTCTCTTTATCTAGCTGAATATATACATCCTTAAGTTCGTACCTGCCTATATTCTCCCTCTTCCTATTTTAGAAAATTATGGAAATAAAGACACTAAACTTGAAAAGCAGACTTTATTGATGAGGGAATTTCTAAACAGAAACATTCTTTGCATAAGTAGTGAAAAGAGAATATTATTAAAAGGCATATCATAGAGAGAAGAACAGGGCATAGGGAGAGGCTTTTACAGACAAGAGCAAAGCCTTGCAGACCAGAGAGGAAGGAGAGAGAGGGAGGTACAAGGGACACATGTGACCTTGGTCTACAAACCATTTTAGTCGCAACTAAAGAAACATGCAAAAGGGAGGAAATGTAGTATGCTATTAGTATTCCCCATGCTAAACCACTCCTTGGAAAGAAATTATGCATATTTATGTTTATGATCATCTTTCTGAGGGACATAAGATACCAAATAATTTATTCATATTTGGATAATTTCTGTGGTTTTTGAAGATGGGATGAGTTGTTATAGGAAATGCTTGATATAAGGATGGTCTTGTGGATGTCTCCTGATTCCTATTACTTTAATTCTCCAAATTCCTTTCCTGCTTTTCATCTGTGCATGGGCCCTCTATATCATCTGTTTCTAGCAACCAAGGACAACATACTGACAATAAATCCAAATTAAAATGCCCATCTTGCCATTGTATAACAACACTGCAATCCCCTGGATTTCTGCAAAAACTCAGTATTGAGTCAGACAAGTTTCATCACAGCTCTATCTCAGACGCAGTTGGAAATAACTTCTTCCAAGTGTGAGTGCCTGTCTGTGTTTAGTGTTGCAAGGTGATGTGTATACAGAATGCTCAGCCAAGACTGGATGCCTAAAATACAAGACCTGCAATATTACATCTGGCACAGTGTACAATTTCTGTGTTATTAGACATGCCACACTGGCACCTTCCTCTGGTAACCAGATCTTAATGAAAAGGGGCATGATTTCCCTATTTCACAAAACAGGTAACAGACTCAAGTAAACTCGAAACATTTTAATTGTTGGGAACACTCTCTTCCGGGTTTGCCATGTCTGACATTTCCAATGATATCAGAGTTAGGATGACACTATTTAGGTGAAAAAAAAAAGTTTTTCATGTCACCTGAAACAACTCAGAAAGCATGGCTATACTTTCCTAGAATATGCACCATTTTAGTACTATATATAGGGCCATTTATGACCTGCTCACTTATTGTTTCTTACTATTCAAAAGAAGAAAAGAAAAAAAAAATAAAGACGATGATAGTCTAACAGCTGGCAACAGAAGAGTATCTCGTTTTGTAGCAGGATCCTACCCTGGCCAATAGCAATAATGAACACTATATTTTTGTTGATTAAAATAATAAGGTATTGATGACATAATGAAGGAAGGAAAGAATAAAATGCCTCAAATGAAGAGAGAATAAATACTTTGCCATGTTGGGTTAGAGATGGGTAATAGACTACAGAGTAATAAAATATTTTAGATGGTCTCTAGGTATTATTTAACTACAGAATTAGAGAATAGAAAATAAATCAAGTATACCTTGATATTGGTTAGAAATGTTTCTAATGACTACTAGGAAAATAATGTATTGATAACAAAATGTGACTTGCCTTATATAAAATTATTCTTAATAGGATTTAATTAAAATGAACTAAAACTCATTTCTGCATTTAAAGTCACACAGTTATTCAGGACGCATGCTCCACTTTTTAAAAACTCTGGCAAGGAGTTACAGAAATTTGTATTTATTTGAGATGGAGTAGTTTAACTGAGAATCAGAAAAATCTCAGCTAGAGTAGCCACCACTACAACTACTACTGTGACACTGGATAAAGCACATTTTCTTGGAGTTTTGATTTCTCACCTGAAAAATGAGGAAGCTTTTAAATTTTATTCCTTGAAACTGGAAGTTTCTTAGAAGAAGATCTGGAGCCACAGTGACCTCACCTCTATGCTTTATAAATTGCAATCCCAGGCGAGAATGTATTGGAAGGAAGGCTACCCTGATGAAAGAGCCTGGAGTACATTGGCTGCATGGAACTCTAGATTCTATTTGTATGTGTTCACAGAATAGATAATTTATTTAAGAAACTTAACTTCAGGGTAACTTTCAAAATGTTGAATAGTAAGTACTAAGCACCTAGAAAAGAAAGCAGTGGACCAGGAAAAACTGGCTGACTCTGGCTCTGTCCTAGCAAGGACCAGGGTCTCCCAAAAGGAATAGGGACATGACTTCTCTTTCTATGGAGATGTAGAATAACTTCCTCCATTCATGCTGACCCACTCAGCATGCAGCCTAGGAAACTGGCACTCAGCTGATGTCTGGAGACTATCTACAATTATCCACAGCTTGGAGATGAAATTCAGTCTGTAGTAGTGGAAATTGGGTAATCCTGCTCATCATGAAACTCCTCAAAGTCAACTGTAGAAATGAGATCAAGTGGAATGTGTACAAAAGCCCTCCAGAAACTGTGAAAGGCTGAGTTTATATAAATGGTGAGTAGCACATAAAACGCATGCTTACCTCGTTGTTGCAGAAGCAGTAGATAGTCGCAACGAAGAATCCCTACAAAGAGAAGGAAAAATAAAGTTGAAGTTATTTTTGTATGCAATATTTTATTTCATAATCAATATAAGTAGATTGGAGAATAGTGAAATATTTCACTACTGCAATAGCATGTGAATCTAAGGGCAGAAAAAAGAAATATACAATTCCCTTATTTACGGCTACGCTAGCATAATATTCTGTTAGAAATGTAGTTTTTTAAAAAAATTTACTTATCTATTTTTTTGGTTGTGGATTCTACTACTTGACAACTTGGATAGTTCTAGCAAATCTGGTTAATATATTGCTCTTTTTATCATGGAGATTTTTAGTAGACTATGCTGATTACAGTGGAGTGCAATAAATTTTTGTACTTATAAACTTAAAATCTGAGATCTTGTAAAGTTCAGTAAAAAAAATCCTTTACAAGCATATTAGACTAGGTGGCAACCAGTACAGTATTATAACTATACCCATCTCTTATATAAGGATATGGGCTAGGTAACCTCTAAGGCCCTGTTCACTGTTCAATTTTCTTGTGTTGAATCTTCAATGATGGCCACAACAATAATTTAAGTTATTAAAACAGCTCCTAAACTTTTTTCTTCAAAAAAGCTTGTGCATGTTAGCAATACAGAATCATGGGGTTTGTTTGGGAGAAATTGGTACATTTATGCAAGTATCTTGATACTTTTCTATTAGTACTCTAAAGGTCCACCTTTTAGTTTCTAGTCACCTCTCCTTTATGTAAACTTTCTTTTTAACACATTCGATTTTGGTTACCCTCTCACATTAACTCTTGACTGTAGAAAACAAATCTAATTTTCAATTTTCAATCAGGACAAAGAGCCTGTGTTAGAATTACTCCTGCTTGAGGACCATTTATGCTCTAATTTGCTGTCAAAACGCCTAGCAGTATGGCTTCAGCAACGCTTTGGATTTGGGGCAGAATAAATGGAAACAGAGCTGCTATTCTCCTCTCTAGTCCTTCAGATGGTGAATAGTCCAGGAATACTTCTGTGTAGCTCTTCTGTTCCCTTATGTGAAGAAACACCTGGGTACCTGGATATTCTCTTTTATAGTCACTGAAGAGTCTTAGCTGAATTCCTCACATTTGCCTGATCATCAGACAACTGAGCAAAGAGATGGGCGGCTCTCTGGAAATTCATTCTCTCTCATTACCCCAAAGCCTCATTTATTTATGAAAAGAAGGTCTGACTGATACTGTTATGCGTGACCACTCAACTGGGTGGGGGAGGCTGAGACTCTTGTGGATCATGTCAAATAGAAACCAATGGTCTTAAATACCTGCTTTTCTTTGGAATTTGGGCTGGGCCTGTTGAATTGAAGAGTGTAAGTTACAACGTTTAAGATCATGGGCTTTAGAGGTGAACAGATCAGCTAGTTTAATACTGTTGGGTTCTTTACCTGGAAGTGAATCAGAGAGTGCATGAAGTAGTCATAGATCTTCCCAAGCACTTTGTTGGAAGGCCTCCAGGGAAAGACGACAAACTGGATTCCCAGCAGGGGCACCAGGATCATGGTGGCCTTCACGGCCTTCAGGTACATGTAGGACTCGGCCTCATGGGTTTCCCTCATCTTAGTCACCAGCACTCGGACGATGTTGAGCAAAAAGAAGAAATTGACCTGCAAAAATATGACAGGATGAGAAAATCATGAGATGTGTATCATGCAAGGCCAGCTCCTGTCCTCAGTTCTGCTTTGTCCAGTGTGTGGAGCTGACGTCACTCACATGGAACATGGAAAACCATCTGGGAGGTCAAGGAGACCCTTCTTGGATCTGTACTCCTTTTCTCTTTTTCCCCTAAGTGAGAAAATGTTTTTCCTGTCTATGTAAAAATGTTAAGTTCAAGTCTAATGATGGCCTTCATTTATTTAGATTTGTAGAGGTTTTTTTTTTAGACATTTTAAAGAGTTCTTTTAAGTCTTGCCTTCTCGTTGTCACTGAAAATGAAATGAGGACCCACAAATGGACCTGCAAAGTAGTAGAGACAGTGAACCCAGCCTTCTTTTATAAATGATGCGTATTTTTATAATAAGGTCATTGAAAAAAATTTACATTAAATAAAACGGAGAACTAAAAGATACACTTGAGTTTAGATACATGTATGCATTAGGTTAACAATTCTTTAAAAAAAAAATATCGAACAATACCACCCTGGCACAACCAGGCAACCACTGATTGCTGTTATCTTAGAAATGGAGATTTCTGTAGTTTATCCTCTTTTGTGTCTGGCTACTTCGTTTTAACATACTATCTGTGAGATTTACCCCGTTGTGTATATCAGCATTCCATTCATTTCTAACACTGAGTGGTACTCTATTTTCCCATTAATGGAAACTGGAATTCTTGCCATTCTTTCACTGTCATGAATAAATGCTACAAATATTTGGATGCAAGTCTTTTCACAGACATATGTTTTCATTTCTTTTACCAAGGAATAGAATTCTACTCCTTTTCATACAGTAAATATGGGTGTCAGATATTTTTGTCTCAGTAATGAAAACTGTAGCAACAGGTCACAAGCTAGTTTTGGTTGTGAAGGTTAGTTTTAAAGATAAATCTGCTTTGATTTTTTTGGAGGGAAATCAAACTCATGATCTCGCACTTGCTCGGTACTGTGCCACTAAGCTATGTCCCCGGCCCTGTTCTACAATTTTAACTGATACTTCATTTTAAAATGGTTACAGTGATTTTTAAAAATCTAGAATAGAAATAAGTATTTAACCTGAAAATTTGAGAAAGGCAAGACATTTCAATTATTATAGTATGTTGAAAAGGTTCATGACAGGCTAGTGAGTACATCTCTATTCTAAATAATGGCAAAAACAATTTGAATTCCACTGGAAAAGCCAGGAGAATTAGAAGATACTCTGGGTGACATTCCAGTTTGATCAGTTGTGATTGGATACTTCCACACTGCAGGAGCAGGTTGTGATCTATAATCAAGACTGTTCTACTTCTTCACTCTTATCTGATGAAATTGTTTTTGTGGTTAATGGAGAAGATAATACATAATATATAATATGGAAATATTAGTATTGCTGGTCCTAACATTGACAGAATGTAGTAAACCATAGATAGAAATAAAAATACTTGAATTCAGATTCAGATAGTAGCATTCTTCATCTTACACCTAAACACTTTTTATTGTTCCTGGCATTTTAGTAAGATTACTACACTCTTTGTAGGATCTGAGGAAGAACATACAGGGGGTCTGTGTGCTATCTTAATTACTTTTTAGCAGCACCTTGTCACCACTCCTTTAGCCTCTCGGTCTTCACCTTCACATACAGAAGTTTTAAGCTACACTGTTGTTAGATGTGTATGAAAATGAGCTTATGGTAACACTCTCCCTATAAATAAAAAAGATATTTTCTTCCAGAATCATATTGCTTTCTCTACCTAGACTATGATTAAATTTTCTTCATTTTAAAGTTATAATACAAATGCTAAATAATACATACTTACATTTTCACAAAAGTTCCAACAAGAGATAATACTATTAAAAGTAGATTTAAAACCATACTCACCACCAGCGCCACCATGACAGGGCCATGGATGATGTACAGCAAGTGGGTATCCACACTTATCCAGCAGCTGAAATAAGGAGAATGCACACATAAGTATAAATATTTTTATTACGAGCCTATTAAATTAAAACTACCATAATACTTACTTGTCATTGAAGTACAGTGCCCGAGTAATAGCATGGATAGTGGTTGGCACCAGTGGGAACCCTAAAAACATGAGAAATACAAATCACATTTGGTTCCCTGGCCATAATTAAAAGCTAGATTTGCATGGAAAATACTGGCAAAGTTAGTGTGTCTTTTAAGATATTCCTCAGATGTTTGTACACAAATTACCTTGGGTCAAAACAGGTGAAAAATTTCCTTGTTAGAACAGCCAGAACATCACATGATTTCACAGAGTTTAGTTAAGAGCAGCAGATAATTAAGTCTTTTGCAAAGTAACCATTGTAGTGGGGACACGATAACCTGTCCTAGGACTCTTACTACTGTCATTATGTCTATAATGATGACCATTCCGTGGATGGCTATTAACAGGAAAAAGAAAATCTTTCCTTGTAGTGGAAGAGGCTGTCATAAGGAGAGGATCTGAACCACTCTGGAGGAAAGTCCTCTGGGAGAGTCTGATTGCTCCTAAAACCTCCCTTGAGGTCTTATTTCTTCTAGGATTTCCATTTCTCAATTTGTTTGTATTGCATGCATTGATCTTGGTTGTTTTTCTTTTTTATTTTTTTGGTCATTCTTTTAAATGTAATTGAAATTTGTAATTTTCCTTATAAAAGCTTCTTATTTTGATGCTGGTGTACCTATGTGCAACAGAGTACTAGTGAATTGAGATATCTATAGAAAGAGGTTTTATTATCATCAAATTAAGAAATATGTCTCACAAAAGAAACTTACTCACTTTCATTTTCTGTGAATTAAATGCAAAAGGTGATAAACTCAAAATAATCGAGTTTTCACCTAAGCCTCTAAACTCATGAAGCATATAATTCAGCAAGGTCATTGATTAAATGCTTGGCCTGAAATAATTTAGAGTTGGATTGTTTATACAAAATATGAATGTGTTATTCACAGTAGTTCTAATATGCCATTTCCCATTAGAGATCAGAAAGAAAAACTCATTCTCTGGGTTTAAATTGAAATATCTATTTAAGAATTAGACAGCAAAAGAAGCCTATGGAAACCTGAATCCTTCCTCCTCATTTTGTTGAAAGGCAAGTGTGCTTTCTACTTAATACAGAAAGATTCAAATCACTCTGATGAAGTTTTAAATAGTTGCTGATTAAGGAAGGTTAAGGAACTACATAAATAGTTTACATTCTACATTATTTTCTTTTTGATATAGTTGAGTATCTTTTTCCTTTTGTCCTTTGTGTTATGTGTGTTAACAGATGTATTTGTTGACAGTCAGCAATAATGACAAAATGTTTCATAACTAATTTACCATACATCAATATGGATAGAACGGTATATAAATTGTTCCTTTTGGATGTCCTTGTCTATGACTCTCCAAGGGGATTAGTAAAGCGCATTTTTGGATGTATCTGGTGGGTCGTGCAGAGATGATCTTGAGTGCTCTATCTGGTCCCTGGATTCCTTTCTGGAATTATTCTCCTGCTCTTTCTCCTGGTCACCATGAACCAAGCAACTTTGCCCTCCTCTCTCATGATGTTTCTGAATTGGAGCCAGCTGATTAAGGACTGAATCCCTAAAACCATGAGCCAAGTTAAATCCTTCCTCATTAAACTGTATGTGTTGGATATTGTACACCAGTGATGGGAAAGCTGATTAATACAGCTACCCTGTGAATCAATCTGATAAGGAAAGCCTCAGGTCAGGATGGGGTGAGCCTTGACTTCTCCACTTGAAACCTCTGGTATGTTGCCTCTCACCTGGACTCAGCTTTCTAGACTTTCAGTTGAGGAGTCTTGATGATCAACTGACAGAGAGAAATGAGGCTAGGGTGGGAAGTTCAGAATTTAAAATACAAAATTCTCTTTGCATTACAAGTGTGTGAAGAATAAGATAGCAGAGAACCTGATACTATTTCTTCAGGGCCTATTTGGTATTCATCCAGTAGCTGAACTTATTTTGTGGACATTCTTAGAGTGATAATCTTCTTTTTCTGTGCCAAACCTCAAATGCATCACAATGTGATTGGGATTCTAAGAGGGCTTTGTTGGGCTCTCAAGGACTGAATTCTTGCTAATACCCATATGTCATTATTCCTTGAAGAATCTAGGTCCATTTCTCTATTCTTTGAAAGCAAGACTAGAAGATTGTAAATATTTAAACACATGTTAAATTTGGTCAAACCTCAGGTGGAGGAAATACCTACCCCAGCCCAGGAGATAATACCAGCGCAGATGCTTTGCCTCGTTAAACACAGACACCACAATGAGCGTATGAAGATAGATCCCTTCACAGAGCATCCAGAAATAATTGCAGGCCATCATGTACTGGTGAAAGAAGTGCAAAATCTTGCAGCTCACCTGTCAGAAAAAAATAAGGATACTTAGTGAAAGACAGAGGTAAAAGTTCCAGCTGTGAACAGAGCGTAAAGTAAATGTGAATCAAAAAATTTACATTCAGCTTACAGGGAGCACCCATGTGCCAGCCTCTTCATTCACAAATCAAAGCCACAATGTATAGATCACAGGTATTTTATGTAAATGACGATATAGATCAAGGGAAGTTGAGTCTATAAAATGTTCTTTGCCCATTAGATTCTTGGACTTTTCTAGACTGCACTGGTTTCCTTTCCTGAAATGTATCTGGGATTCATAATTTGGAAAACATAATTTAGGATCTGTCAATGATTTTTATACTCCTTTTGTCCCTATGGTTTATGAGGCATCAAAACAGACATGAGACAACAAAATAGACACCAGCGTAGTATCCTAAACTGTGCCTTTGTCCTTGGGAGGAGGGTTTCTTATCTAACACCATTGACATTTTGGAACAGGTGCATTTTTTTTTTTTTTCTAACGATGGGAGGTTGCTCTGTGCATTGTCAGAAACAGAAACAGATGCATCCCACTCCCAGGTACCAAAATGAAAAATGTCTCCTAACATTGTGAAATGCCCCCTGGGTTTCAAACTGTCTTGAGGACCCCTACTCGTGGTGTACAGCTATGCTTAATTTCCAGCAACCAAAACCGCTACTACAATAGCAGCAGTGACAACATTGGGCACTGCAAACGAGGCAAAACCAGTGGTTATTTGCAGAATTACCAAAAGTTCTTCTATACATTAGATTGCTTGTTTTTCCTATGGTTTTCTTTTTAAATTAATGATGCATTTTTATGAGTACATGTTTGCAGTATATTATGTTTACATTTATTTTGCATGTGTCTATAATACATCTGCATCTTTTTTTTTTTGTCCTGTTCCCTTTCCTCCTCTGCTCTCTTCAACTCTTGACACATTTCCCATTTTAAAAAGTTCATTTTTGTGGTTTTCCTTTGATTCTTTTTGGACATCAGGTCTTCTTTCTACAAGGCAAGGTAGCCATGGAATGATTTCAGTCCTTAGACTAGTTTTATCTTCCCTTGATCTGTCACTTCAAAAGCTCTGGCGTCCTGTTCACTTCTCTCACGTTTATGTGCTCTCCCTTGTACCAGTCTCCCCCAGGTCGGGCAGAAAGAGTTCAGTTTCTACTCTGGGTTTTATTATTCTGCTGCTCAGCTTTGAGCACTCTTGTTAAACTGATCTTCCTGGGCCTTTCTTGGGAAAGATTTGACATAGTTTGGCGGCTCAATTGTCCTGATCAAATCATAGGAGAAGTTCATGTTGTTTTTCAGAATTGGGATTCATTTCTCTTTCCTTATATAAGAAATTATAGAAAATGTGACTTGATTGTTTTATTTTTTGAGGTGTGAAGTGCTCAGGTTCGCAATAAAAACCAATCTTCCTATATTGTCCCTCTCAGAACCAGAAAAAGCTTCTTTCTAGAAAATGACAAGAATCCTGCTGGATTCCTTTAAATGCAGCAGGAACAATGCTTTTAATTCTACCTCCTGACTCTCAACATGAAGATCATCAAAGGATAGAAAAAACAAGACAATGAATTTAGATATTATAAAGATGAAAAGCTCAAATGACACAAATGACAATGGGCAATTTTCACATCACTCAATAAAATGAAGATTTTTTTCAGCCCTTGCTTATCCCATAAATTATTTAGAGTTTAACTTAAGAAAATAAGAGAAAGTGAAGGAATATGCTTCATATTCTTTGCAGTGCAGGAAAGAATATGTCTAACTAAACCATTCTCGAGAAAAGACTGACAGCTTTGATAGGAAGGGACAGAAAGGTCATCTCTGAATGGTGACATTGTGTTTTCTTTTCCTTTTTTTGTATCGTGACATAAAATTTCCTATAGAAGTAAGTCAGTAACATGTAGGTTGACATAGTTTCCCTCTTTAGGGAGCAATCTTTTCTTTTTAATATATTTTTTGGCTTTGGATAGAAAAATCTTTATGTCCCTTAATGACTAGTTCAGTGATTTGGAAACTTGATCAAAATTTAAAAACAGGCCATATCTCAGCTTTTGGGCTGCTAAAGAGAAAAACATATCTTTAAAAGGTTAATCATTCTTTTTTGCTTTAAAGGAGACATAGGCATAAATCACAGTTAGAGGGAGAGCTGATGGATATGTTTTTATTTAACTTATGACTATGGGTATAGTTATAGTTTGCATTTGAGTTGCAATATAATACATATTTGTAGATTGCAATGATTAATGACTTTCTTTGCTTTTCCAAAAATTTTTTCTGCTTTCTTTTCTCTATCTTTCCCCCCTCTGTCTTGTTTCTTTCTTTCTTCTTTTTCTTTTGGACAGGGTCTTGCCATACAGTTCAGGCTGGCCTTGAGCTCACTTTGTAACCCAGGTTGGTCTTGAACTTGTGATGATCCTCCTGCCTCAGCCTCCTGAGTGCTGGGACTACAGAAGTGTGCCACCACTTCTGGCCTTCTGTCTTGTTTCTTAGGGCGCTTCTCTCTCTCTCTCTCTCTCTCTCTCTCTCTCTCTCTCTCTCTCTCTCTGTCTTTCTTCTTGGTTAATGAGAACTTCAATGCTTGCTGGATTGTCAGATTTTCAACAGAAATGTAATATATCAAATAATTCATTTAAAGTAGTTTTACATAAATGATTCTGCATATGATCTGTAATTTTAAAGATGTGATTTTTAGCCTTTAGATGTTATTAGTTTGTCTTTTTAGAAGTGTAGAATTTTACTCCTAAAGAAGATGGAGCTTGAGAAGAGAAGTTAAATCTTTCTTGGTTATCATTTACTTCCTTTATATACAAATTTATTACAACAGGGGATGGCTCTTTCTTTAACATTTGAATTTGTAGTTTCACTCACAGCCCATTTAAATAATCTTTTGAGTATGAAAAGATACTCAAGAAATTAGGGCTCTGTGCATGTATTTGTGAGAGAATATGTATGCTGAAGGTGAGAAAACACATATTTTACTATGTGTGTCTCTCTCAGAGATAGCAAATAGTTTCAGGGAAGGATAATCTATAAAACATATCTACTTGAGATTTCTTTGCTGGCTTTTCTGAAAATAATTTTGCTTGTGTAGATACAGCAGCCCTAGGTTGTTTATATACAGAAGATTAGATAAGCGATACAACAGAACTATCACTGGAAAACAATGTTTGTGTTCATAGAGAAAGTCTCAAAAGCAAATGCCCTAGTTTCTTTCCTTGGGTGAAGCATATGTTTCACAGTGTACAGACATGAATTAACTTTTGACATTGTACTCATTTGTAGTGTAGTCATTTAGAACAGACACTACTATTTATATGTGTTTGGTGAGAGGCATTTGGGTTGTCTTACGGAAGAAAACAATATTTGGAAATGTTAAAGGGCACAGAGTGTTTATGACAAATTCCATTGCACTTGTAAGTAAGTTGTTTTTGGTGGCTCATATTATCTGACCTCGGAAGGAAGAAAATTCCTCTTTTGGGCACATAGATAAAAGTATTCATTTTTGTACCTTTGTTTTCCATGAAAACAAACAAAAAACACTTTAAAATAAGTAAACCTATGACTGAATTCCACACATATGGTTACAAGAACACAGGATTTTTTTTTTTTTTTTTTGCCCTGAGAGGCCTGGCTCATTCCTGGGGATTGTGAAGGTATTATAAATAGATATTTTCCAAAAAAACCCTCTATGAATTCAAATAAAAATTTGACTTTTGGGTGCTCAGTGAGCACTTGATTGGAGGAATTCTTTCCCTAAGAAGTTTTCTCCTGAATTAACTTACTAAGTTAAAAATACATTGATTGGTGGAACCAAGTGCTAGTCATGCCATAAACATAAGCTTCTTTCCTTTTTCTTAAATGTACTATATGAGAAGGTCTAATGCAAGTGGGAGAATTAGTCTCATTCATTCTTACTAGAAGAAAATTTTCTCTCTATGTCTCTGCCTTTGTAAAGCATACATGCCCATTCTTCCAGGAAATCAGCTGCCTAAGGCACTGCCAGACCACTCAACACTGGCTTAGGGACTGCACTAAAGGTTCTCCACCACACATGAGCTGCCAGGAAGATCAGAGCTTCTTGGTAGTGACTAGGAAATACTGTGACCAGCAGAGTGCTTAGGCATGTCTGCCCCTAAAACCACCTACGAAAGGGAAAACATCCAGCAAACCTAGCTAATGAGATGGTGAAGAGCATTAAATGGAGCAAAACATCTGCTGGAAAAGCCACATCTAGGGACCTAGGGACTTAATAAGCCACCACAAAGCGAGGTTTAATAGCAACTTTATGATTGATCATGATGTTAGGACTGTGGGGATTTTACAAAACTTTCTGTTTCTTTGGGATTCCAGGACAACCCCTTAGGAACTAAGCAGGACAGTTATTGCTGTTCTTATTTTATTGGTAAGGTTTTATAAGCTTTTGTATTTTAGTGGCAACTTAGTGTGAATTTAGACTATATCAAAAAAGATAAATTAGCAAGATTTCACAAATATTAAGAACTCCTTTCTATGCTAATACCGGGAGGCATGAACTATGGATGTATGAGCCCTCAAAAGAGAGGGGGAGCAAGTCTCCTCAAGAATTTACAACAATTCATAATTTCAGCATTACTTCTAGATTGGTATGGTTATTCAATGACTGAAGTGTCGTTTTCTGGCTCACTCCTTATAGACAGTAATTTTCCCAAGGTTTCCACTTAGTGGCAAGTCAGAGATTGATCATACTCTCATGCTAGATGCTTAGTGAATTGCTCCGACATCTGTTTCAAACTCGGTAGCATCATCTTTACTAATTAACTGCATGTGTAACTATGGGTGGTCTTCACCGGTGAATGGCTGAACCCATTTCTTCAAAATATATCTACCTGGGAAATAAATAAGACAACGAGAGTACCAGGTAGTACAGAAGAGAGAGGTGGGCTTGTGTGACAGATCTATGGTTGACGCCCATCACTAGGTATTCACCATATGAGGAACACTTCACTGAACCTCAATTTTCCAGCTTTAAAAATGGTGATAGTGTCTGCTCTTTACTGGTGTCTTGTTAAAATTAAATTGAATGAGATAAATTTTGTTTAAATCAGTTCACATTAAAGTAGAAAGCCTATCAAGGCAAATCCATTTATTTGTGTAAGATAGGAGTTTGTCTCCAATAATGTCATGGTTTTAAAAGATGGATTATAATGTGTTTCTGGATATATTCATACTGCAAAAGTTATTAACACTGTGGCTCCACTAGAAGCCAAATTAAGCTGCTTTTCTATATTACCTCACTGCTGTGCAGAATGCATGCTCTGGTCAGATTTCATGCATTTTGTCATTGGGTTGGCAGACCTGTCAAATGTCAGTTTTGAAAGATGAAGCTATCTATAGAAGTTAGCTGACAGTTAAGCAGAGAAACAAAAATAAGAATATTCAATGGCTACTATTTGTGCGCTAGACAGTTCCTAACTGGGCTTCCAGATGTGCTTTCCACCCATTACCCTTGCCCTGTGCCCACAGAGCCTGATCCATCAGGCGTTGGGCCCTGGGTTTCTGGTTGAGTTCAGTTAATGGGGATCCTCAGCATAGATTAGAAATGAGAGCGAATGGATGAGAAGTATTTACTTCCTCCTTGCCTTTTGTGGGGCTGCTACAAGCTGGCTGTGTCGGGAGGCAGAAGTCCTCTGTGTCAGAGGGTCAGCCTTTACCTGGCCACTTCTCAATCTTTCAGCTCCTTCGTGGTTTCCTCCAGTTGTCTAGTAAGGTGGTAACAGACTTTAGCAAATCTACACATTTGTATCAGGATGAAACATACAAATTTTTTCTCCAGAGGAAAACTGATCTCATATTGGCAATTTTATATGCAGTGAAATTAGCAGTTACATCCTTACGCTTTTTTGAATGGACAATGAAAGTGGAGGGCATTCACCAATAAAGAAAAGGTACATTGTTAAAATTAAGGAAGGAAGGTTTGTAAGAGATGGCAGACAAGCATTTCACCCATTTTCTGTTTTTTGGCATTATTTTAAAATTTAACTTTTACTGTATGGATCCTATCTTTATCTGTGCTTGTTTTCTTTTAAAATTATTTACTTATGTTTAATCAGCACATGTCTGTAGTACCCAATGGTCACACCCCCATGAGGAGTTGGTAAATGTTTATAACACATCTTAATTCTTTTGTTAATTCCCTGCACACCATCTTCTCCATCTTTTGGTTCACTTTCCTTATGAAAAAGGTATTCCATCTATTTTAAAGATCAAACTATTTACTGAGGCCAAGAGGATTATCAAATAATATTTTCACACTGAATTGATAAATAAAATCTCCATAAGTCAAGGGTCACTTGGTATGATGACACCAAAATGATCTGATTTTTTTTTTTTACATCAATCTGGTACAGTTGAATCCTAACCAACTTCTTTGGTGTTGCTAAGCTTTCACCAACTCAGAGATTCATCGTGGTGAGGTGAAGGAAAGAATAAAACCTAAGAGTAAGGAGGCCCGGGACAGAGTCCTTGCTTCTCACTTCATCGGTTACACGATTCAGGGAAAGTCACTTTGTTGTTGCATCCTCAGCTCTCTGATCTGTGAAAAGAGGAGTCAGGGTGCTATAACCTTCCACCTCCTCTCGGTTGTGGTTTGCAGCAGTTGGTAGTAGCAGGGCCTGATATCAGTGAACCAGCACTGCCTCTGGCTGCTCCTTCCTGCCTGCCCTCCTCTGCCAGCTCCCTCACTCCATCCAGCAGGGGGCAACAGAAACACCAGAGCACCTTCCCCAGCTCCAGGCCACCAGTGCTGCGCTTTGCCATCAGGCGGGACAGTGGCTATCTCGCCTGTACAATCTTTGCCCTGTTGATTTGGAAGTGTGGGCAGATTTGGAAACTACTCTGAAAAATGTGATCTCAGAGATAGAGAGAAGACTGATGACAAACAGGAATCATTGTTAGTGACTCTCAGGACAATTCTGGTAGGAGTCTACTGTAGTTCTCAGGAATGGAACTAAATGATTTCAGATCCCTGCTCTCTTTAATACTTGCCTACAATGGCGCATGTGGGCATCAGCTTTATGAGTGTAGGTCCTGATGTTCCTAAATTCTTTTGCATTCTCTTATGTTAGTATGCATCTTTTTAAAATTATGAAGACACACAGTATGATAATACTTACGTGACTCATTTAAGTACATGCATAGCTGTTGCTAACTGAAGTGACTGGTTGAAGCCTAACCTGGCACTTGAATAGTGAAGGATCCACCTCTAGGACCATTAGTCACCACTCATGGCAAATCAGGGTCACTGGGAGGCACTGCCTTAGTTTATTATCTTCTTCTCAGGAAGTGCTCAGTACATTTCCCTCAGAGGTTAATAAAGTATTGCTTATCTATTTTTAAAAAAAATCCTCACATTTTGACAGAAGATTTGGATTTGCTTAAGACTTAGTGATTCCCAATCTTCACTATCACGTGTGACCTTTACTTCTAAGAATTGCCTAGAACTAATACACCTGTCAGTGAGAAATTCAATGATAGAAGTCAATATGATGACACATGCAAATGCTGCTTCAGTCAAACATTAATGCCACATTCACTACTTACAGGTCCTGAATTCTTTAAAATAAAATCAAAAGGAAAACCCCGTGGCACTCACCGGGTCCTTGCGCACCAGCTCTCCATTGGGCACGACCTCAACCAGGTGGATGATGATGATCATGGAGTTCAGAATGTACGTCAGGAACATGTTCTTGTGCAGGGTCACCCGCTGGCAGCCAAGACTCCTGGGAAGAAAAGCAACACTGAAGCATTAGCTGGTGTCAAAGTGTTGGAAGTGCCTTTTACTGCAGATGAGAGAATACACAGGAATAAGTGAGCTGGATCTCTTCATCAAGAGTAGTTGCTATTTTCAGCCTTTTTAAAGAAACAACTTTCAAAAGAATTATGCAGTCATGGCACCCTTTTTTGGTCCTCTAAAGTAGTTTCTGGAAGTGTAAGTGATAAAAATCATTTTAATCACAACAAGTGTTGTACAATTAATTAAGAGAATGGTTCTTAGGGGAGAAATAATTAAGTTTTGGAATATGCTTCCAATAAAATTCTACTGTTCATTGCTGCAACCAGGCAGAAAACATGTGATAGATGAGGAAAGGGAACACAAGTGTGTTATCTATTATTTTCTTGTTTCTTCCCACTAGGAAAGAAGTGGTAAAGGGATCTGTTTGAGTTACTCAGAAAACTGTCTGATGTATCAGATGGATTACAACTTGCTTTTAAAAAATATAAGCCAGATGCGGCAACGCACGTCTATAAGCACACCACTCAGAAGGCTGAGGCAGAAGGACCGCCACAAGTGTGATGCCAGCTTGGGAAATGTGGAAAGTTCAAAGTCAACTTGAACTGCATAGTGAGAGCCTGTTTCAAAAAACCAAATATATATATGCAATATTCTTTCAGCTGTGGTCGCTCTATGTTTTTCAGTGAATTAAAGAATGACATTAAATGCTAGATTGCTTCATCTCACACTATGTATCATATTGAATATCTGCCAAATTCTTAGGTATTAACTACTAGTGAACATTAATATGTTGTTAAACACTAGCCAAAATATACAAAATATATTGCATACACACACACACACACACACACACACACACACATACACACACACACACACACACACACACACACACATATACACCTGTCCAAGAAACACAGGGAAAATGATGGTTGAAACCTAAACTGCTACCCTTCAAAGTAAGGATTAACCCGGAAGAAAACACATGATAGACATATGAGTTTGTGTTTCTTAAAAGTCCAAATGTAAGTTTTGCTTACTGAGTTTTCAAAACTTAGTCGCATCGATCTGACGACACACTTTCTTTCAGAAGTGATTTAAAGGCACTTTAAACTTACGAAAACTGAATCAATAATCCAACACATATTACCAGCCTGCTAATGTAGTAAGGTGGCCTTCTAACTCCTCAGTGCAAAGAGTCTCCCATTTGGTTTGATATTGTTTTTTCTGAAATAGTAATGTCCTCATTCAGATTTCCCTTTGAATGAATGATAAACTCTTGCAGCACCATCAGCAATATTTTTAGTATTGCATCATCAAAAGCAAAGATGGATGACAAGCCAGTTTACACTGTTCAGATCACCATAGCAAGTCCTGGAGGTAAAAGGTTGGCTGATGTCCCAGAAGTTCTTCATAGGGACTGAGGTATGGTGAATCTGGTTGAAGGACAGGAGAAGAGACTTGAGCTGATTCTGACTTGCGTTTTCTGTGCACAAGAGTAATCAGTCCTTCACGCCTTCCTGTGACATCTCACTCTCTTTGCCACACTGGCCCATGGCACAGAGACTTATCAGTGGTTTCAAATGAACCCTGAGAACAAGGGTGTCCTCTGAACAAGGATGCTAGAAAGGGGATGGGTTGAACTTAATGTAAAAGTTAGCATTACAGATCTTCTGTTGCGTGAATGAACATCAGAGATGCCATTTTCCTGTCAGAAATGTCTGGAGCAGAAACAGCACAAGCCTGACAACAGTTATACTATAGTTTCTTGATTAAAAAATAGCATTAAGTGGACAGTGCTTTCTCTTTGAGTGACATGAGATTGTAAGTACATGGATTCTGCAGTAGTGAGACGATAAGACAGCATAATCTAGCCTGTGTTGGCCTAACTATAGTGTCACTCAAGCATGAGGAAGAGATAATGATTTCCTTGGGAGTGAACCTCAAAATGCAGGATTTTAAGACTGAAGAAAAATCCATCTTTGTGACTGGAATTCTGCTGTGTAAATTTTTCATACTGAAAATTTTTTTCAATTTATTAATATCTCATGTGTATGTGTGTGTACCTTTTGGTTCTTGTTATGGTGTTGGAAGGTGTTTAATATTGACCCTGATATCTAATATTCATAGAGGCTGTAAGTTGGTATGACGTCACAGGTGAGAAACGGCAGTATTCACTCTAACAGAAGACTGTCAATATAGTCATGTTCAGAGCAAGTAAAGAAAAGTGCAAAAGAACACGTGAAAGTTGTTCTGAGTTTGCTGGCAATGGGAAATATAAATTAAGAATCGCTTCTATAGTTGTCAGAAAAACTCAAGTCACACTGTGCAGTGTAATTTAAGTTTTTCTTTATCCAACTACCACCTTTCTTTTATAATAGATGTGGGAACTGAGAGCGAGGGAATGATATAGAATAAGTTACATTACAGTTCCCCCAAAATTGAAAACTTGGTAGAGTGGTCTTGTTGGAGAACCAGGAAGGCAGACAGAGATATATAATGGTGAATGACAAACAAGATAAAGATTCATCTTCTCACCTGATTTATAGATATAACATAAAATTATATAACAATATAGGTGGTAGTGTCATTCTAGATGCCTCCTTTCTTTTTTTGACCTCCATATGTTTTTTCCACACAGTGAGGAAACTTCCTGTTTTACAATATGGAACATATATTTCTAAAACTTTTCAGGCAGAACAATATTTAAAAATTTAACAATGAGAAATGTATGGTACCAGTCAATTATAATCTATGGTAATGAGTGCTATGTTTTGCTTTTCTTGACAGGATACATGCTATGTATAAGTATTTAAGATTATTTCACAGAAATGTACATTGATACATTTAAGAACTTATGGGATAAGAACATTTATTAGAAACTTTCTGAAAAAGTGGGCAACCAACATCAAATAAATATTTACTTCTGTGACTTTTTCAAGTCAGTCACTTCTAAAAGCATCTTCATCTTATGTCTCTGCTGGCACTGATGATTGGCATCTACTAGTGGGAGGTCTTACTGAACTAATCCAATAGTTATATTTAATCCATCTCCATAGGACCATTCTTATTTTTTCCCATAAACTTCTTAAACCAAATATTTATCCTATAGAGGCTGTCTTCTTTCTTTCAACAGTGGGCTGGGAATAAGTTATGTGGTATACTGAATTTTACTTAAACTTTTATACGGTTGATGTCTATAATGTTGCCATTTCTAGATTTTCTTTTTCCCCCCTTTAAGTTGAAGAGGGCATGAAAGTTCAATTTTTATCTTTTGAAATAACAAAATTTTACATATACTTCTACATTAATTTTCCAATGGTGCAGAAGGCATGATTTCTTGTTTCAGGGTTACTTAGCTGTTGCTTACCTATCCCTCCGTACTCAGAATGAAATCACAGTAAGATTAGAGATATACTTTAATGGCCTCATTTCAAGTAATGTACAAGATTTTTGAGTGAAATATGGGCTGTTTCATATTTAGCAATTTCCCATGGTTTTGGGACACCTGCAAGGTAACTCCTTTTTTATGAACCCTGTAAGGCACACTGAAGAGTTCTGAGGACTTCACAGTGAGATTTCAATAGGATGATCATGAATGGGACATCAGTGCTTAGAAGTGAAACTGAAGTAGGGCATGGCGGCACACATCTGTAATCCCAGCACTCGGGAGGCTGGGCCAGGAGGATTGCTGTAAATTTGAGGCCAGCCTACACTACGTAGTGAGTTCAAGGCCAGCCTGAACTGCATAGAAAGATGCTGTCTCACATATCAACAGCAGCAGCAACAACAACAGAAGTGAAATTGCATAATTTCTCATTTTGGATTCATAAAAGTTTAATGAAACTGTCTGGATTTTGTAAAATAACCCTGGGAATACATAATTAAGAGATCAACAATCAATGTTTTTTGATCAGATTTCACATAAATGATGCCATTTAAGTACATAAACCATGAAAGTTTCTATTATAACAGTCACTAAAGATCTCATGCATGATATTTAAAAATTTCTGGGAAAAATCTGGCTAGCTAAATGATAAATTTCAACAACAAATCAGGATTACTTTCTATTTTTACAATCATTTAATATTTCTGACATGTATCTGAAGAGCCGGAATGAGAATCAAGTTTAATTTTAAGAAAATGTCCTTGAAATTTTTGGCCTGGGTATTTTTAAGTAATGAACAAGAACAGCCATGAAAATTATTCATGATTCTTTTGTGTTTGACTACTTTGGCTCTCAGCATTTGTATTTCACAGATCTCACACTTTTATCCTGTTGTGGCTGGCATGAGAGCCAGCAGGATCAGTTTATCTCTTCTTCCTCTTAAATTCATATTATAAACATAAAAGACTCGTTTTCCTTCCCTAAGTTTCTGCTTGGTGAGTTTTTGCCATTGAGAGGTCATGAAATGAAGTTAGTGGCACCTGCCTGATATGCCTGACACTCTGTAAAGCGTTGGGCAGAATCATTTTGTTTTGGGACTGGTTGGAGTTAAGAAATATTTTAACTCATCTAGGTGCCACACTTTTCTACACTCCAGTCTTCAGCGGGTTACTATAGTAATCATAGTTGAAAGAATATTATTTTCTTTGTTGATTTCACTCTCAAATTTTATCACTTATTTAAATAACTGGGGAAAAATAAAGAACTATGAAACCCCCCCCTTGACATTTGTCTTAAAATGATGACTATCTTTTTTACCTGCATGGTTACAAATTGGGGAGATATTTTTCTTACAAATTTCTCAAAGTTACACTTTAAAAACGGTAAAAGTAGGCTTTTAGCAGAAGACTTTTTAATCAATGTTGCGGGAATAATGATGTATTTATTCCCCATAGTGAGGAACCAGTGAAAAACGAGCAGACATTCCAAAGTTAATCGTGCTATGTGATTACTCTGCTGTGTTCTAATCATTGTAATTGAAAATATTCTTCTAATTCTAGTAATTAATACATTATGTCTTGTTGCTTTATCAGTCTTTCTTCTGTTAAACCATTTATGGAAGGAGCTCATTATCTGTTTCCTTGTGTTATTATTTGCTAATCAGATAAAAAATTACTTTTCAGTCATATTGGTTAGTCACTATAAAGACAATAATGTAGAAAAAGTTTTAAAAGAGAAAAAATAGTAATTTTATGGATGGATATTATGGTTATTATTTTTACTTGGTTTAATTTTCTTTAGTATTGTCATGGTAATATTCTTATTTTAGAAAAATCAAGCTAAGGTTTTATTACTATTTATATGAAGCACTGTCTACTTAAATACATATAACATCTTTTCAGCATGGAAAATTATTTGAAATTTGAGCCTAGGAAAGAGCTTTTCTTTATCATTTGTAGCATGTCACAACCAATAATAATGATGGTAGAAATAATAAAGATTTCAAAAACTTGTATTTCACTTATGTGTCAGATATTAGGTACTAGATCCGATCTAACTTATTTCAAATTCTAATGTATTTACTGAACTGTGGCACATCTATAAAGAATTTATATAGTCGAACTTTGAACTTATATTTGTGACTATGCCTCAGAAAGCCAGTTTAAGGCCACATGTGGTGAGCTGCTGTGATGAAAGTACATATAACAGTTTCTAATTTGAATGTATGGTTATTAGAATAACTCCTGTTTACCTTCACCGAAAGAAGCCAAGATAACAAAGTAAGGATTTCCATATGTGTTTTCATATATTTTGCTATCTAATGTAACTGTTCTCACACAAAACCTAAAGCAAAACATCCTTTGAATTAATTTTTGCTGAGATGGGCTGCTATATATGCTTGTTCATTTCTTATTCTTACATTGGCTAATATGTCTTCAGCTGCAATTCTTTCAGAGCCTTAGCTGGGGAGTCTCATCAGATGGTCATTGAAAGGCCATTTTCATAAGTTAGTGCACCTATGTTAGCTCTAGTGCTCCCTAACTGTGACCTTAGAGCAATGGCAATAGAAATCTCTCATAAGCTAGTCTCTCCATCTGTTGGGAACTGTATAGAGTTTTACATCAGATATTTAGCTAGAGAGATATTTATCAGATATTTAGCTCCCACCCTACTTTACAAAAAGGGGAGTAGATATCAAGATTTTTTCCTAGTGGATCTCATTTTCTACAACAGAATAAAAAATCCAGGTGAAAGGCTATACTGTGCTAATACAGCAATCAGAATTCTCATTACTAGGTAATGTAATGCCTCATGCTTTTGGTTTAAAGAAATGACACCAATATGTAGAAATATCTAATAAATTACCAAGTCATTCCTAAAGATACAGAATCAACATTTAAGATTTCCCTTTAACGTGACATCAGCATCTATACTAGCTTAACCACTGCCAAAATGACGCAGTCAAGTATTCACACACAAACTTAGAATAAAAACCCTCACTGGAACTGTATTCCTCACAGTGTTAAAGATGTTGATCATAGCTGATAGCAGTAGGTTTGCAAGAGCAAAGGCTGACATTGGAAAAAGAGCCATCGTCTATGGCCATACCACCCTGAACGCACCCGATATCGTCTGATCTCAGAAGCTAAGCAGGGTCGGGCCTGGTTAGTACTTGGATGGGAAAAAGAGCCATCTTCTTCCAGAAGCTTTCTTAAATTCCAGTTCAGTGACTCAAGGGCCAAGGGAGACTCTGAATTTCATATTCCTTTCCCACCCATCTCATTTTCTCCCGGTTAAATCCACTTGTAATAGCTCATAATTAGTCAGGGCTCATCTCTCTTTGTACTATGGCTTCATATATTATAGTAGAGGAAAAAGAAGATGCAGCATCCTCTGCTCAGCACTTAATGGAAATATAGCCATGGTAAATAGAATCTTTACCACAGTATCTCGGTGTCCTTTTAGGCTTACTAGACTAGTAATGAACATACTTAAAAATCATATAGTAAGTCAATTAATGTTCCTTGGTACCTCAGTCCTTCTAATAGTGCACGTCTCTTATGATTTGCAGATGTTTACCTGGTCCCACTCTTCCAAATTTACCATTTATTCCAGTAACATAAAGAAGCAAACAAAAAACAGATGCTGTAAATGTACTTACCTGAAATACACAAAAATTCCCAGAGAAACCACCAAGGTGATAATCGACATAGAGTGACCCACGATAGCCAGATAGTACAGAACATAAGCATTCTGGAACCAAGAAGTTGAACAAATAGATAAATCAATGGTAGATTCTACTTCTAAATATAATATAAATCAATAAATATTTTCCTTGCTTAAAAATCCACTAAAATTATAGCAAATATTTCAGAGAATGGAATTATCTGTATTCATTTATTTTATATCAATACATTGATCTAGTTTCAAAGAATAAAGTTTATTGAGAAATTCAATCTTCTTCAAAAATATATTGCAGAAATGTTTTAAATGTATTTGAAATGCTTCCCATGATGGTTTTTGACTTCCTGGAATATATATGACATTTATGTACATTCAGCATTTTGATTGTTATCAACTGCCTTATGAGGAGTCGGAGACTGAAGCATGAATTTTGCAAAAATGCTCTTGAAGAATGTAGAACCTTTCATTTGTTTATGTGCATGATGGCTGTCCTGAAACAAATATTCCCTTTATTTATTCTAAAAATTTCAAAAGGGATACTGCAACTTCTCCTGAATTGTATCTATTATACAATTGACCAGGCATTTGTATGTTGTTTCTCATATTCAATGCCATTATCCTAATAGGACTTCTTATCTGACAGGCAATGAGAATGAATAGCTGGTCTATAACTAAAGCCATAAAAAACTTCAGATAACTTTCTTAGGAAGGATTTACATTTTTCAAGAAAATAAACACAACTCCTGTCTTTTCTCTCAGGAATTCATTCTTTGGAAATTTTTGTAAAAAACACTCATGTAATTTAATTCCATCTATTTTTCTATGAACATTTCATATAAGTTAACTAATATTGTTTCAGATGCCTTCAGAATATTCCTTTTAAAAATATTTATTCCCCTGAAATAGAGTTGTCTGAAGATATAATATTAAATCAGCAGCTTATAATTTACTTGCCATCTTGTGTCATTCTCAAAACACAAGTTTTATTATGTTAAAATAAAATTTAAAAGTTGATTTCTTCAAACATTGGTGACAATGTTTATATGAATGATATGCAGAAAGAATTTTAATCATTATATTAAGTGCCTGGAGTGGACCATTTCTTATTAAACTTATTTCTTTCTCATGTGTGGCCAGGATCTATGAGAGGGTCAAACACTGCAACACTGAAAATTATTTATTTGGAGTCACACTATTTATATCAACTCATGTATCATGATTCTAATTTTTCCTCATAAACTCATTATCAACATTCATTCCAGAAACTCATTATTCAGTGACATTCTCACTTCGCTGGACTTTATGAGGTACATAGTCATCCGTTAGGGTATGAACATGGCTGAAGGCCTCACAGTGACTGAGCAGTTTATAAGGAGATCACTGACTGGTGTCTTCAACCTGTGCTGGTGGCAGGTACCCCACTAATAACTGGTCTGTAAACTATCTATTCATCTCAGTTTTGTTGGGTTTTTTTTGTTTGTTTCTAAGAAAAGGAAAACTTTTCATACTTCTAAAACTTTTCAAGAGTAAACAAAAGCATGGTATGTTTTTAGCCTCCAACTAGGTAACTGCTTAGAACACATGCCCATCTTTGAAGGACATATTTCCTGTGTAGCTACACATTAACACTATCTCTTCCAGCTTGAAAAGGAGAAAAGGCTGGTTGCAGACTTACTGATCTTCTCAGATTTCTGATATTCTTCATCACTGCCTTAAACACATGTTTCTAAGCAGAGATGACATTCAACATGTTTATCAGCCAGTAAGATGCAAACACTAGCAAATCAGAATAGATTCCTCTGAAAATAATCTGAACCAACATATGTACATTAATGGGCAGACGAGAAGCCCCCCTCTAGGGATCCCTTTAATGCCTGGTTGTGAAACTAAAATTATATCTAACATGGGAGAAGAAGAGGGTAATTTTTAGCTTGTGACTTCTATAAAAATATGAAGTTTTGAAATTCCTCCCAGAGGACAGAGATGTTAGACAGTCCCTCAAAATGTGCCTAAAATTTCTGGCATTGGAGGGAACCTCCTCAATTGCTTTGTGGACATTGTTCCTTTTGCTGTAAGTGGTTGATCCCATGTGCATATGGAAGTCCCTTCTACACTAAGTGCCAACCACAAAGACAAACATCATTTCCTGTAGTGGCACTTCAACTGGGGATGCAGCCCAGTAGTAGAACACTTGCCTAGCATGATCCTTAGCACGACGACAACACAACAAAACAAAATAACCTTCCTAATGCCACTTCATAGAGATCCTAGACATCACAGGTCATCACTGATTTCCTTCCATAAAAAAGATCTGCTGGCTTTTTGGTAGCATGTATTTTATTTCCATGTACAAATGACATTCTTAACAAATACTGAAATCTGAAATAGAACCCACCTGCAGCTTCTCAGGAGTAAAGGCGTTGCACAAGGTATAGTTGGACCAGGTTCGATTGTTCTCAGGATGCTTAAACCAAACCCCACTTTCATCGCAGTACTTTGTAACCTTTTCTGTTAATGAAATGTAATAATCATGAACTTAATAACTCAAAAACCTAAACAGAAAAGCTAATAAGTGAAAACTTAAAAACCATCCCAAAGTGTCAGTCACTGAATCTGAAAACAACTTTCAGTCAGTAGAGACCACATGGATCATGTATTATTCAAACTATTTTAATGTGCATTGTCTCAATTTTATCTTCAGCTGAGCCATTTGAAGCAGGGATTGCCATGTCCAATTGACAAACTGATTCTCAGGCTCTATCCCAAGAGATTCAAATTCTATGTTTTTGGAGAGGAGCCAGAAATTAGCATTTTCAAAAAGCATCATGGAGTCTGTCATGGTGGTGCACAATTGTAATTTGAGCACTCTGAAAGGGTTAATATGAAGCCCCAGTGGGGGTTGGAGGTAGGGAACCTGTGAAGGTACCAGAAAAACAAAACAAAACAAAACAAAACAAAACACCCTCTATCTGTTTGTCTGTCTATCTCACCCAATTCAAAGGGTACTTGGGTTCAAAATTCCTGTCCCAAACCACATTTCGGTCATCCAGTGCCATTAGTCTACAGAGTCTGACTCAAGTGCAGGACCCAAAATGCTTCCTTGTTAAACACTGTGTTCCATACTCTGGCATATACACACTGTTGTCTCTTGAATTTCAATCCTGATATTTACTATTTAACCATTTATTTGTCTCAACTAAGCACTTACCAAAATGAAACCTCTGGCACTTCATTATAGTGTTTTGTGCATCATTAAAATGTAGCTTTTTGGTTCATAATGAAATCCTGAAAGAATTACATTTCTTGAAATAGTGACAATTTTGGGATGTGTTTTTCTTCTGAAGTAAATTTATTCCCAAGCTTCCACCTAAAATACAGGCTGAGAAAATGAATCTATGCCCGAAAACCTCTATTTTGTTTGTTAAAACCTTGCGTTTTAGTCAATATTTATGGTCCCTTTGGCCCACTGCTCCTTCACAGCTGGTCTTGTGGTTTCAGCTGTAGAGTAGCCAATCAAGTTATCTGTAGAGTAGCTGTCAAATCAAGCATCTTGTGTTGGGAATAGTCAATGAAGGTTTGGAGGATTATTATCACATAGCATTTAGTTAGAATTTATAGGAACATAACTCTGTGGTAAGGTGCTGTTTAGAGGTTTCTTTACATCTCCACTTTTCCATCAAAATTTCCAGAAGTAGCTGAGCCTGCTCTGATTTTAAAAGCGGTCCCCTGTAATCCAACCACAATTATCCCCGTTTTACTTCAGGGAAACACTGATTTCAGGGACAAATGAAATCTTCCCTTGAAGGAAGTAAAAAGGAGTCACCCAAAGATTGTCCCAGGGATGCACGTACTTCTGTACTCTAACTGGAATTCCAGAACCACTTACACATCTTCTGCTGACATGACTTGATTTACCCTCAGAGGGAAAAAGAAATCTCATCCTTTCATAGGGACTTAGGTGATGTATCCGCAGCTAGTTCATTTAACTTCAGCAACTGGTCCTTTTTATACAAAGATTCATACTCTCCTTTTAGTATCTTAATCCCATATTTATTTCAATGGGACAGATTTTGTTTCTAGCTCTGGCCCTGGCACCCACCGTACCTGCTGAGTTGCTATCACTTCCTGTGCTCTGGGGACCACCCTCCCCACACACCTCAACCCCTGTGGCACTTGCCTCCCCTGAGCAGCAGCCTATTTAACTTGCTTGAGCTGTCCTCTTTCTAGACACTTTCTCCTCTGGACTTTCCTCTTTGTTTACAAGTTTCTTCTTGATTTACACTTAATTACAAACAGAACTTTAAAAAGTCTTGATGTCCAGGCTGCATCCCAAACTCAATACATCAGAATCTTTGGGTGATCCAATTCTTTGGGATTTAAAAAAAAGTTTCCTAGCCTCTCAGGCAGGTGGTGAATCACTCACTTCCTGCTATCATCCACCCAATCCCATTTTTAATCCTATCTCTCTGCTTACTCTTGATCAAAGTTATAACATACCCTGCCTGCATTCTTCTAGATTGTTTCTGAGCATTAACTATTGAGCACTTCCAGCTCCAGACCAACAACCTGTTTGGATACCTGACAATCCTAAAATGTGCAACTTTTAATTGTGCACTGTTCTTGGAACCTAATAACTTACCCTGCTTGATCATCCCAACTTGACTTCTAGTCACAGAAAGGTAACGAGATGAGGCCCAAGGAAATAACGTCTCCTCCATTAACAATTCTGAAAGTGTTTCAACGTGCATAGGTTTGTACGAAAATTAAGAAATAATGGTCCTCAGATGGTTTTCTACACTGTTGTACTTTACATAGAGAGGGGTAACAAGGGCCGAGGAGACTTGGATTAACTTGCAGTTTTGTGTTGAATATTGTCAGTATGAGATAAAATGTATGAAGATATTTTGAAAGTAAAAGATGATATTCAATGAAAAGCCTTCCTGAGTTTTATGACTAAAACTTTTAGTCATAAAACTCACTTTTATGTGCTATTCCTTTACTTGATAGACGTTTGTCAATTTTTCTTGTCCCCAGGCCTGAGCTGAAAGTTGCTATGATCAGTTATTGTAAAATTAGTCTCACTTATTAAGTTTAATACTTTGCTGTCAGAATAGAAATTTTGTGTTTAGTTACTGTTTTCTGGTTTATTTTTCCTTAGACATGACAGCTTCATATTATTTTCAAGGTATTATTTTTGTCACATGTGCCATCCTATGTCAGTACACACCAACTCTAGATCAAGTGTTTGCTACACAAATGTGTGACAACTGAAAAAACACAGACACTACATATTTAAAACTATTCACTGTTTTTTAAAAACTCAATTTATAAACCAGAATTTATTACCAACACAGACAATTAGCCAGTAATATGACCTAAAAAATGAGGATAAGTTGCAGTTATTGGTATTGCCGAGTAATATTTCAATTAAGAAAACCGTAACAGGCTGCAATGGTACTATAATTATATATTTCATATCTGATATTATTTTTAGATCCATGGAAATTCTAAAATCTTCATAACAAAAATATAACATTGAAAAAATTCTCTACCTGTTGGATCAAAGTCTGGAAAGTAATCCGGGCATAACTGAACGGAGAGTACTCCGGCTGGAGTATCGTCCCAGCACATCCATCCATCCCAAGTGCGGTTGCAGTAGGGGCCTGGCCATTAGAAAGAAATCAATATTGACTCCATGTGGTTTTGAAGAAAGGAGAAGACTGACCCAAAAACATCTTACATGTAGCCAAAGTCATTTATTCAGAAAATAAATTTTGAGATAACTTTAGCTTATATGTTAATAAATTGTCTCACTGGACAACAGGGAGGGTTCTAGTTTTCTTTTCTTTTTGCTACCAGGAATTGAACTCAGGACCTTGTGCTTGCCAAGCACACACTGTGCCACTGAGCTATATCCTGGGCCCTACTTTTACTTTTTGAGAAGTTGCCAAGCTGAGTTTTATCAGTGAGTAGCTCCAAGCATTGAATTTTACTCTATTTATTTAATTGTATGCCTAATAAATCAAATGGGTTTTGAGGTATGTTGATAAGCTCTACTTTCTGAAACTTTATCCTTCTTTAAAATATCTAACTAGAAAACTGGATTTAGATTAGTAGGTCTTGCATACACTGTCAGGAATGTTATATTTTCCCTTAAATATCAGCAGCAAGAATTCAAAGAACAATTCAGTAAGAATGAATTACTTGACAAAATTTAAGATACTGATTTACTCTTCAAACTTTTGTAATAAATTTCAAGAATGGGGATACTCACAAAGAATAGATTTTTCAAAGTTTATCAGCATACTGCAACCAACATTTCTTTCTTTAAGTCATTTATTTATTTATAACCAATGAAGTACATGAATTGATAAGAGATAATAGAATTTTCTACCCAGAATTTGTTCTCAATAGTCTCTTCTAAATAGTGTATAGGAGACCAGGTTTATGTAAGGCAATGAAAGTATAATGGGAATTGTGGACTCTTCCTAGGAATTAAAGATGCATGGATAAATAAGTGTGTCTTATTCTGGAATTTTCCACTGAGATACAGTTCTCAACAACAATAACAATAACAATAATGAAAAGGTATTAACCTATCACTAATGAAACTTATGTATTTGTAGAGTTTTCTCCATTAGTTCTTCAAAAGATGCACATTTTACACATATGTATTGATTCCTTCCTCTAAAAGCTTTTCTTTTAAAGTATTTACAGAAATGGTACACTTTTGAAAAAGTCTGCAATTTCACACCTTGATAAAGCCTTGTTTTAAAATTCCATATGGCACAGAGGTGTGTAACACTGTACCTGGACTGCAAATTCAGGGCCATCCTGGGAAATTCAACAAAACCCTACTTCAGGAAAAAAAAAAAAAAGTTAAAAGGGCCAGGGATGTCACTCAGATGTAGATCTCTTGCCTAGCATTGCAAGAGGCCAAGGTTCTGAGTTCATTCCTTATTATCAAAATTAATATCTATTTATATAATTTAGGAGCATGTGGCTATTAAAAACCATTGACCTCCAAGGAATTTCTTTGGATAAGTTTATTCTTGGTCCAAGGTGATATAATTGTTCAGAATTCCTATTGGAGATGCATTTGTAGTCAGTTAATGAATCACATATAAAAATCCTTACTACTTTAGAATTATACTTTCTTAGTAATTACAATAATGCAGCTTAATCACTTTTTGTATTTGTCAACATTGGCTCCAAAAAGCTTCTTGCTGTTTTTAAAACTTAAATTTAGTATAAAATATGAAGATTTATATCTATAAAGGTATCCAAAAGAATGAGGCTCAGGCTTTGAAAGAACGTTTCAAAAAACAAACAAGCAAACAAAACAATCAGAGCATCAAAATTCACCCTTTCAAGGTAGCTAACACTTAAGTGAAACAGATTGAATTCATTTTGGCTCTGAAACTATCAGGGTATTTCTTGTTCATTTCTCTTTTCTTTGATTCCAAGAAATGGTTTCTCTAATGCCTTTTAATTCCTGACCAACAGTGAAACTATAACAAACAGAATAATGTATTTCTTTCAGGAGACTTGACCTTTCGTTTAACAGGAAACGTTAAAAATAGGAACTAAAATTTAAAACTTTATTTGAAAGGAAACTATATGTAGAAATTGCGTACCATTTATCCCCGTACCAGGTTGGGTTGTCTCAAAATGTACAGGTCGTATAACGCTTATTGAATCTTCTGAGATTTTTTTTAGGGGGCAAGGAAAATAGTTTAAACGCATGTTCCAATGCCTAGATATCACTTTTTCTTCATTTCTGTGTTCTAAATTCTACATCTTAAAGAATATGGTTATCTCTAAATGTATTTGGGCAGTGACACAGCGCATTCTCCAGGTGATAAATGATGTTTGCCTAGGATGGTGGTGGTGAACCTTTGGCATACACGATGCAGTGGGCTGTTAGTATCCCTGAAAGATCTAAGGGTTCATCATCACTGGCCTAGATGATTCTCCAGAGAGGGAAAAAAATAGTATGAAGAATTGCCAACCAACTGGCAATGAGGGAAGCTAGTTAACTTAAACAAGACAGGGCTTGTCAAGTTCCATCTCAGGCAAATTCCACCTCCCTTTCCAATCGTTTTCCACTTCCCCTCCCTCACTTGGTCTCATGTTGCTCTTTCTTGCCAGCTGTGAAGACTGAGTCATTACATAAATTTTGTGATGAGGGAAGATATTAGCCAGAAAGAAATGTGATGAATTAGAAAAAAAAAATAAACATATCCTTTGCACAAAAATACCGTAGTGTGAAAACTGCTGACACATGAAATTTTTTGACATCTATTTATCTATGGGAAAAACTTAGTTTTTAATGACGTTTCACATATATGTATTCACATATATTCTTTCCTTTACCTTCTCCTTCATAAGGAGGTAACTGTTGCATACGGTCATAGCACCTGTACTGAGCGTCCACCAACTTCTTGCGTCCGACAGAATACAGATATGGCTCAGGCTCAAATGTCGGAAAGGTGAGATTCTCAGACCTGGGAAGAATTGAAGCTGGGTTCTGTATTAAAAAGAAAAATCAGCTACTTATAGAGAAGGATGAAAGTGTAAATAAATGAGGTAATAAAAAAGCTTGAAAACATTTATTTATCTTCTAAAAGCAACACTCGGGGTCTTCATGTATATTTTTACTTTATAACTAAAAAAGTATTTACATTTCATATATAAATTCTACCTACAAATTTTATATGCACATTAATATGCATTAGCTATTAAAACTAGATAGCACCCACACACACTCACACATCTCTTTATCATCTAAGATTGTTTTATTTCCACTGTAAGGTTTAGAAGTAAAGGAAATAACTCAATTTTTTAAAAAGCCAATATTAAGTTAACTTTGGCTTTTTTGGAGCTCTTAAGAATCATGGATGTTATTTAAAAGTAGACATAGTGCAATAAATATGTTTCCTTTATTGGATTTTTTCAGATAAATTTTGTTTATGCTTGGATTATATGCACTGCCATAAATTTACTCCATTTACTTCACAGAAGAGACAAAATGTATTTTCCACCTCTGATAACTGAGCGTGATCTCTTTAGATTGGTTTCATTTGCACATGATCTACACAAGATAATTCATTTACGCTGGTGAAAAATTAAAGTAGTTGCTAAATATTTATATCATACATTTATATTTTTGGTACAAGTTAATATTTTCAGTCTCCATTATACATCATTACCATCAATTTGTTTCACTCTCTGCCATACTATTCTTTTTAACTTGTGTTTTTCTTGTAGAGTTCAATTTCATTTGTAGCTATGACTGATGTTTTAATAGTGTCTGAATTTATGATTTTCTAATGTTTATGCTTTGCATACGTTTTTGTATTTTTTTAGAAGACCTACGAATTTCAGCCTGTGCTACTTTTCTTAAAGTTAGGAATACTGTTTTTTTTTTTTTTCCCTGTCACATCCACTGAAGTAGTTTTTTTCTTTGCCTCCTTCTAAGTTATTCTAAGACTGAAGTTGTCCCAACAACTGGTTTTATCTTCTCTTCTATATTCCCTTCAAGTCTCTAAATGCAAACTCATCCTATTAAAGTGACATATTTCACAGGATATTTATAGTAGAGTGTATGTCATTTTTTACTCCCCAATGATGTTATATCACAATTCTGAGCTTTAAAATACAGAATACAATTGAAATTCAGAGTAGGGAGAGAATATGGAGCAAGAGTATTCTATAACAGCTACAGACAGGAGACTTTGAATGGGAGCTAGAGTGTATGCAGTGTGTGGCTACACAAAGAGGAGAGGGAGGCTTTGGGGATGGAGGGAAAGGAATGTGCAAAATTGGAAGTGGAACCTGTGAGACACATCAGGGAACCGCCCTGCCTGACGGGGGTGGGGGGGGTAACTGAAGCTAGGTGAGACTTAGGGTTAAGAAGTCACACAGTGGAGTGCTTTGAAAAACCAAAATGCACAGTTAAATCTTGTATTTTCACTCTGAATACGTTAGAAATCCCTCCAAGTTTATGGCTCCTAATATGTAAAATAAAATTGTTACTAATCAAGATAAATAATAAAATAAAGCCAATATTATTAAAACATGACAAAATAAAAGATAGTTTGCAATTCTTGACCAGTTATGGATGTGGAAGGAGAATTTTAATAGCATTCATGTGGCGGGCAACAGATGTCTATAGCTTCTGTCTGGGGAGGGTGGCCTGGTTTGGGATGTTCCATAATAGGACAATAAAGGGCAACTCTTAGCACCTCCTCGGATGATCCAGAGAGGAAGGCTAATCAGAGCATTGTAGTACAGTAAAGAACAGAGAGCAGTAATAGTGAAACAGCCCAGGAGATTGGCCTAGATAACTGGGTAAACATGATAGTTCCCTGAGAAAGGGGAGATGTAGGGAAAAGAAAACCTTAACAGGGGGAAGAAGACAGGTTCCTGTTTGGGATCCTAGAGGTGTCAGAAGGCCATCTGAATGGAAACAGCTTACAGAGGGGAAGAGGGTGACGGTGTCTTACATTATACCACTACCGTTATGATGTGAAATGGGCACCTGCTGTAAGTAAGCTAGACACTACTCCTTAAATATATATTTATTTTTAGATTTAGTGTCTTTAGTAACTGAACACAATTCTGTTGACATATGGCTCTTTTCTCACTCAATGAAGAAATACTCACTGCTCTTGATAAGTCAAACACGGTGGTAGATGCTGGGGCACAGATTGCACAAAACAAGTGTGGATCCTGCTCATATGGAGCATGCAGTTTAGCACGAAAGGTCAAAACCCTTACACATTTTACTGACAAAACTGTGAACAGAATCATCGGTCATAAAATTCTAAAATATTCCATTAGAAACTAGAATCTGGGTTGTGAAACTTTAAAAAAAGAAGATTTTGAAGACGTTCTATGTTAAGGGTTCTTTTTGCATTAAATTAACGTACACTTTTATTGGTGTGTGTGTTTTGTAAATCCAAGAAAGTGTAATGGAAAAAGCAAAGAAAGGATTATTGTGTTCTTACAATAGAGATATTAATGCCATCCATCCATTTCAGATATTCTTTTGGGGGTCTACTCTTAGAATTTTTAGTTGATATGAGAATTATAATTGATGAATTTTTTATTTTCAGCCATCTTATCATCTTTAAGTTAAATAGAAAACGGAGTATCACATATGTAAATTGTATCCTTCATGTATATTATATTTTTAGATATTAGGACAATCTTCCTGAAAGTGGTATTTTTTACAGGAGTAACACTCTGAATTTCGTCTTTATATGTTTGACAATCAATTAAGAAAAATATTCCTATATGAGTAAGAAATTCCTACAAGCCATGGGAAAATGGTATAGCAAGAATATTGAGTGAAAAATACTTGTATTTTCAAATACATCTTTATTATTTTAATGCAATTTAACATTGGAAATAGTGGGATAACTTTTGAGTGAGAGCTGATGGCAGTAGCTTCAATCTTATCATTCTTGCAATACTGAAACAAACTCCAGTGAACTTGGTGTGGAGCCTGGTTCAGTAGAGAGTGTTTCAACACTGAAGGAAGGAAATAGGAACCTCTGTTGTGAGCCTTCATGGTAACCACAATATGCTCCTGGTGGGTCTTGTTTGAGCACTCAAACTGGAATGTTGCCAGTGGTAGATGAGTGCCTCAACAGCTTTTTTCCTAAAATAACATATACATTGGGGCATTCTACTTATGGATAACTGGATAGATATGTATGTGTAGATATGAATATATAAATATTATATACATATGTAAATCACAAGCCCACATAGTACTACTGAAAAATGTCAAATACACCCATTTCATAAGGTATGTCAAACATACACATGAAAATCTGTCAGATAATTTCCTACAAATAAAAATTGCTACTGCTGTAGTATTATTTTCAAAGAGGTAAAATGAAACCAATAATGATTATATAAAAAAATCAAGCAATGTGAGAAATATACAATAGCAGTATTCTACAAGTTGCAAAAGTTATGTAAGAATTTGAGAGATTTAAATCAAGATATGAGTCTATGCTTATATGAAGATAGCAATGAGACACTAAGTGTATATTGCTTGTCTGAATAAAGACCACTTTAATTCATCTTTATCAGACAGTTTATAAACATAATAACTATATGATTCTTTGATAAAATAATTTATTGTGGGATTTCACTTGAGTTATGAGAAATAACCACAAATTATGACTGATGAATAGCAGTATCTATAGAATATCACATAAAACTTGGAGATTTATATACAAAATATTAGTTTCTCTAATATTTTAAAGTATTTTTACTAGATTTATAATGGCATCAGTAACCTACTTCCAAATACTGGGTTACTTTTAGAAAATTATACCTTAATCTCACTAAAGAAATAATTACAATAATACATTGATCTGACACCATAAAATAGACTATGTCCATTACCCAAAGAGGTGCAAAAGTATTATATTAACAATCATTACTATAAACCATTTATTTGATATATAATATTGAGAAATAAAATGTCCTTTTACAGATTACATTAAAATTTATAGAATGCTAGTAATTTTTTTTTAATAATGTAAAAAGAATTAGTACAGGTAATGTATACACTAATGAACAGTAGAAATCACGGAACCCTACACAAGCTTTGCTTGGGTTATTATCAAAGTATGAGACATGAAATGATCTTTACTTCCATCTGTAATTCATGGGCAGAAGTTATCCCAATGCGATAGAAAGAACAAAGATCAAGATGACCCCAGACTAATTCATGTTGAATGCATGCATCTTCTTTTCATGTGCTACTGGAGTTGATGTAATGATGGGTTAACAATGTTGACACAAATAAGCAGGCATTGATACTATTTTCTAAGACAATGCTTTTGACTAGCTAGGTTATTTAGGAACAAAACAATGTAAAACAACAAATTTAACATGATATAAAAGGTAAAAGAGAGAGTTGCGGAATGACAGTGTATATAGTTGTGAGAGGTTTACTTTTTGATGAGACATACATTTGAAATAAATAGCCACACTAATAGCATTCAGATAGTTTAAAGTACTGAAATACTCCAAAAATTATTTCAAATCCACATGTCAAACACAGAAAGTTTTGTTCAAGAATATTACCAAACTTTGACACTCATTTCCAAGATAACACAGACATGTCTCAAGGGAAGAGCAAATTTTTTTTCTTCTTTTTTTTTTTGTACTGGGGATTGAACTCATGACCTTGCACTTGCCAGGCAGGTGCTTATGCCGCTGAGCTAATTAGTAAAATTTCAGAGGAGAGATATATTAACCAAGCATTAAGAAAAATGATGTTTTAAGTAATTTAGTATTGGTTTATAGAGAATGGTACTTACTCTTGCAAAAGCCAACCAAATCAAACACACTCAGACATTCCTCTCTATATAATGGTCACAATTAGCATGGCTTAGAATAACTGTTGTACTCACACTGATGAGGATGAAGAATGCCAAGAACTGGCGTGTAAAAGTGAACCTCATTTTCGGTTTTTGAAGATTCTTCTTTGTCCTAGAAAGATATGAAGGTAACAGATATTTAAATTAATACATCCCTAATATCAGTTTGTCTCTTTTTTTTCTTTCTTTCTTTCTTCTGTGTCCTAGAAAGATATGAAGGTAACAAAACAAAGACTAATACATCTCTAATATCAATTTATCTTTTCACTTTCTTTTTGACTTGAACAGGATCAATGTCCCAAGACACCAACCTAAATAAAATACATACAACTAAAAATAGTATTTGTGATGCAATTTCAGCTGTGCATTCCATTCCCTCCTGTTGATCAGGTTGTCATCCATTAAAAAATTTTAAAGCTGCCCTTTCATATCAGAGCTGAAATAAAGACCATCTGAGAAATTAAGAGCAGTCCATGTTGGCTTCAACAGCAAGAGAGAGAGAGAGAGAGAGAGAGAGAGAGAGAGAGAGAGAGAGAGAGAGGGAGAGAAGCAGAGAGAAGCAGAGAGAAAGAGAGAATTGCTGAAAACCACAGTGCAGATGTCTACATGAAGTCAGTGTTTTGGACACAAGCAAGTGAAACCTGTGATTTGTGAAGATTTAAAAATACATGAATGTAAGGTCAACACTCTTAAGTATTTTACTTAGTACCCAGTGTATTTTTTCCTGTAAATATTATTCAATCTCCCAGTTGTTATCAAGAATAAATTTTCTCCACTGCAAGGACTGAATATGCTACCTCACAGCTCATCATTCATGAAGACATGGCAGGCAGAATGGCTGCTTTATCATAAATATCAAGTGGTTTTTTCATTTCTCTGCAGATAATGGTAAATAAAGAAAGAATAAAGGAAAGATGAAGTTTTAAATGTATATTACTTTTCATCAGTGGGGTTTGTTTAAAACCTGAATTTTACCTAGGGATAGTAATTACAATTACATTTTAAGTGGTCTTCACTTACATCACCTTCATTGTGTAACTTTGCAGATTTTAAGTAATCTGCTAATTACTGCAAAGTATGCTAACGTTCTGGCCCCCAAAAGAGTAAATTATGTTAGCACAATAGTAAGTGGAGGATAAACACATAATTATGAAATGTTATCTCATATGCTGGTCATTACTCACTGCCTCTGATTTACTTCAAGTCCATTTGGTAAGTTAAAAAAAAAAAGCAACATATGTGCATCACATGCTAAGGCACTACAGGCATGCAGGTGGAAGTAAGCTGACTGAGACATGGTCCTATTATAAGAAGCTGAGCATCATTGGGAAGGGAGTGTAGGTATGAAAAATATAAGATGGGATAAAATAATAAATCCAGACAAGTTTCAAAGTTAATTAAAATTGTGACAATAGAGTCTCATAATAGAGCCAAATAATTTCTGATTGGGAGAACTAGGGCAGAGCTAATATTTTGAGGTACAATTTAAAAACTGAATCTGATTTTGAAAGTCAAATATCTACTAAGCAAACAAAACAAGATAAGCAGATAAAAATAAGAAATGGAGACAAAACTGTAAACTAATGAATAACAATACAATAGTTTAGCTAAGTGCATAAAGTCTTTTAGAAAGTGGAAATGAGTTTTTAAAAATAGATTCTGAGAGCTTTCAAAATTTTTTACTTGAAGTACCCTTTTGGTATTTTGTATACTTACAATGCAAATTTATCTCTCTATATACAGAGGCTAAAAATCTTATCTAATTTTGAGAACCTATCCAAATATGCAGTGTATGCATGTATTGAAATAGCACATTTTGCCTCATATCTACAAAAAAATTAAATGTGTAAGGAGATAAAAATGCTCATTTTCCTGACTGAATCAGCAATACATTTTATAATGGATTGGATTATCACACTGAATCCCATAAATAAGTACAATTAAAATGATAATTTTTGAAAGAAAGGTTAAAATTTAGGTCTCTTCTAGGTGTGAAAGTTCAAGTACAAAACCTAAGCTTGGTGAGGGGCTGACTTCCAAATTAAGGAGGAGCCAAGAGGTCTAACTTAAGCTCCTACTTTTATTATTTCTTTAGTCTGGGGCAAAGAACTTCATCACCACGTCAGTCTCCTGCCGGAAGCACTTCCTGCCTGAGGGTGTTCAGCTATATCCTCCATGCAAAGAGCACATTCCCATGGGTAAAGCACTGCTCCCTACCTATGTTTCAGCAATCTAGTAAGTAAGGGTAACAATTTAAAACCATTTTATTCCTAAACAAAAGTTCTTGTGGAGTTCATAAATAAACCAGACCAACATAAAGTCTAAAAATCCAGTTGTGAAACCTAAATTAAAACCATTGGAGGAAACTATTGCTAGGGATCTGATTATCAGTGAGACAACAGAATCTGCATTTCTCTGTATCCACAAATGGGTACTCGCTGGTAATCTCATCTTTAGGGAACTGGGTCTCTGGGTTACAAAGTTGGCTTGATCAGTGGGAATCATTCCTACTGTAAATAACAGAGTCTAGTCCACTAATTCAATGATAATGATGAACAGAATTATCTTCATTTAAAGGGAATAAACTTCCTTGAAGAATAAAATTGCATTATTTTTATTTATTTACTTATTGTGGAAAAAGTATAAAATGTCAGTGTCTGAAAATAATATCTACTCTTATAGGTCAGCATTTCTGAAAGTGTGTTCCATAGAGAAGTAGTAATCCCATGAGAAACAGTATAAAATAAGGTTACCATGGCCAAATAAGCTTATAAAATTAAACATGTCCTATACTCTTAAGAGATTTACCATAGATATTAACACTTTGAATAAAGAATGTAATTTTCTTGTTCTAAAAATAGCCACTTGATTTTAACTTTTCATTCCCCAAATCTATTTGACTAGAAAACATTTTTGTTTGGTAACAATTAATAGCACATCAATAGCATATAGTTGGGAAAAAGGTTTTTCTTTTAGTTCAGTGTAATTTGTAACCCACACCAGTCAACTAGGCCTGCAAATCATGAGAATGAGCTGCCCTTTCACTTAAAAATTCTTTCTTCTCCATGGAACAAAAGAGGAATTTCTGAAGTCTTAAACATTCTCTACTCTTGGTACAAAGCCTAAAACTACTAACAGGCATCTCAGAGGCCACTGCCCTTTTGGAGCATGTTTTTAAGGGGCTCTCTCCCAACGTCTTAGCTTAGAAATACAGAGCACAGCAGCGTAGAAATCAGGAAGAAGTAGGCATCACCATCTAAAAACAGCTGTGGGTTTTTGCTGTGCAAGGCCTAGAATTCTTACTTTAAAAACCTGTTATTTTTCTAAGACACTCTATTTACTGTGTTTCCATAGATGTAGTCTGAGCAAGTAAATGAATTTTGTGAAACCATGGGTAAGTTGGTTTGCTTACTTAGCAATAGCTCCTTTTTAGACAACTTGATTATGTAGCTCATTTGAAACCATTCCTCATCACTGTAGGAGCTAATGTGGCAAGGCAGTAATGTAAAACCCAATTTATGTTACCACTTTAAGCAAAACAGAGTCTATTTCTCTTCATCATGAGTTTAAAATGTTTGCCTAACTCCAGTCTCCAAGTAAAACTGGTAAGAAATCTGGTACTTTCTGCAGTGGACTGTTCTTGGTAAATAGCATGGCATACAACATCAGAAGAAAAATTCAGATGCCAAGTGCCACAAGACAATATATATATATATATATATATATATATATATGAATAAAAATTTGTCTTAATGATCTAACATAGCCATAGATTTTACATCTAGGTCATCTTATATGTATTTAAATGTTTGCAAACCAAATTGTTTGCAAACAAAAGTTTATGAATGAGGGTACCACTGTATATTGCTTTGATGGAAGTCTCCAAGGCTAATTAGACTTCACTTTAATTCTGGGTTCAGTAACCTTCAATACTGAGTCTAGTGCATAGTAGTTACTCAATAAGTACTTATTAATAAAACAAACACACTGCTTCTAAGCAAGTTGTCTAGACAATACTCATAAATGTGTTTTTAGAAAAATAGTTCAGAATCACATGTAGTCAAGAATGTGCCTGGCTAAAACGGATATTATTAATGGATAAATAAAATTTGACTACAACTAGTTTGAAGAATATTGTAACCTCATGAATAATTTTAGTACTTAATCTTTAACAGCATCCACCATAAAGAAGGGTGGATAGAAACTATTTACATCAAATTAAGTAGTGCATCATGCACTTATTAAATAGCTTCAATGCTATCACAAGGCAAAGCTGAACTCTGATATGTAAACTTCAATATGGAGGAAAAAGTCTAAAGGGTCAGCATAAGCAAAGATGAAGATGCAGGAATCACTGAAATCCTAAAAAAAAAACTCTTAGCGGGATGACCCCAAAATCCAGGTTCTTTTTTTTTTTTCAGTTATTTTTGGTAGTACTGGGATTAAATCCATGGCCTTGCTGGGCAAGTGTTCCATCACTGAACTATACCTCATCCCCGAAATAATGTTCCTAACCACAACATTTATAGTGTCATATAAAAACAAACACATAAACTTGGTTTTAGACTAGTGTAATTTGAATTGTCAGAAGAGTCTTCTGTTACAGAACCTAAAATGTACCTTGTACATTGTAAGTAGCATGTTCACAGTAGTCCCTGTTTAAACTCTTCTGTGGACACCAACGATAGAATCCGTGGGGAGGGAAGTCAGTATGGTTTAATGGGAAAAAAATGGTGTAGCAAGGAATGAGGGACTATTTGCTAATCTCAAACAACTCTTAAGCATGTTATTGTACCTTTCTGGCCACCCATCTCATTAACTATAAAATTAGGCAACTGGACCGTGATTAAGGACCCTTTCCACTTTCAAACAGACTCATGAGTTCAATTAGTAAAACACAAAAAGCACATTTATCAAACAGGTACAAGATATCAAATTATTTGATAAATAGTATTTGACCCTTTATTAGAAAATAAATGAAAACGGACTTTTCATTTGTGCTCCCCAAATTATGATCTCTGTAACAAAGATATCAAATTATTTGATAAATAGTATTTGACCCTTTATTAGAAAATAAATGAAAACGGACT